TGAAGATCATTACAATATTGTTAAAGGCATGCCACTCATTTGTTTTGTGCATGTTTTTTTTTATGTAATGCATATTTCGATACGTACCAATTAGATAATAAATATGATTGATTGAAATCACAAGCTTGGAATGATTATAAATGATAAGCCAATAATAACGATAACAATGATAACAATGTAAAAGAATCAGAAGGAAAACTAATGGAAAATAATTAGAAGGAAAAGCAGTAATAGAATAGTAATAGAAGCGATAAAAGTAACGATAATATATAATAATTATTGTGCATTCGCACAGGTATACATATAATATATATATTTTTTATTTTTATAAATAATGGATATGGCCGCAAATCAAATACTAGGAACTTTCTTCGAAATTTTTTAATGTCGTCTTACTTCCTGTAATTAAATCGTCAGAATCATTCGCAGGTACTCTTAATATCTATGACGATAAGCAAGTAATATTCTATTTCTTTTTAACGATTGTTCATTCGAATAAATATAAATGACTAAATAAATACGAATTATAAAGTAATCACAGTACTAATATGAGAAATTTCGTAGAATATAAAAAATATCAATAAAATTCCAGCGTATATATCGTAACGTTCATTAAAGCATTTTTTTTTAGAGCAAAAAGAATTTTATTAATATTTTTCTATATAGGAAATTTTTATTGCTTTAATTACATTGAAAAAGCACCAATTTTATAATTTTACAATTCAACAAATTGTGATCAGTGAAGTTGTGAAAAAGTAATGATATTAATTGCAATTAGGATTGTATTAATATAATCGTCCTAAAACAAGATTGAAAGAAATATCGAATATAAGAAATCTGATATATAATCACGCGCATGTTAGAGTATATATTAACAATAATAATAATGGAGTAACGCTGTTGATTTTCTTGAGAATAAGTTTGAAAAAAAATCATGAAGTGCTATGACGACAGTCTGAAAATCTTTATGATTTTCATTTATTTTTTAAAAGTAACATCGTATGAGCAGATTTTATTTTTTTTTTTTTCTTTTTTTTTTTTTTTACTTAAAAATATCTTTTTGTGTAAGCCTTTTAAAAAAGGCGCAAACACTTTTGCTATATTAACATCAAGTCGTTTACTTTTTCTTCGTGATCTATCAAATTTAAATTAACTTCCTTTAAATAGAAGTTAACTTTCTCCTTTTCGTAATATTTCATTTTCTTTATGTCTTTACTCGATCGTGCGAATAGAGTCTCAATAAAATTAAAAGACGACGATTTTTTTTCATAAAAATCGCCGTTTACATAACGCTTGATACAACACTTGAATTTTTTTTTCTATTATATAGAAATAAATATTATAGATATCGATTCATTAAATTTTGCTTGCAGACATTTCTAAAATACATTTACAGGAACTTATTTCATTAAAGTATTCATGATTCAGCAGCACTAAAACGCTGTTGTTCCTTATTAAATTATTATCATTCATTTTGGAAAAGTTCCCAAAATATTCGTTGAAATCATGTACTTTTTTTATACTGTTTAACGATCTCTAGTATACACGTTTAGAGAAAGACATTTACAAGAGAGTATTTAGATGCATATTTATAAGAAAAATATAAGATAAGCATGCCTCGGCAGTCAAATCAATAACATTTTCATTCATTCGCTTTCATTTTTTCTTCGTTTCTACGTGTAAAATATTTTTCTTATGATTCTAACGTCACATACGTTTCTCGTTTTTATTCAAAATTTTCTTTTACATAAAATCTTTTAACCATCCATCGATTAAAATATATGGCGCGCATTTCGACTTTCATTCGGCAGGTCATAACTCATTCGCATCCTACCCATCTGTGATGAGTCTCATATATTAAATGAAATAATAAATAAAAAAATATTATTCGAACAATTATAAATATTTGCTTGAATTGAGAAAAAAGAAAAAGTACAGGTTCTTAGGAACACATAAATAATATAAAAGTTGCGCATTGCCAACAGAGAGACAGTCTCCGCATTGCCTTTGCACTTGCTATGTAAAATGTATAATATTTTTTTAATTTCATTTAATATCTAATACTTTATATATATATATATAAATATATATTATATTATTAATATATATTATTTATATATATATATATATATAAAATTTCTATATATATATATATAAAATTTCTATATATATATATATATAGAAATTTGGCAAGAAACATCCTTTTTTTGGCCTTAATCAAACGTGCTAATCGAATTAAGATCTAATCGATATAAATAACTTCATTAGCCCCTTCGATACTATAGTCAACTTTAAAAGTCGAAAGCTAGAAAATATATATATGTATATATATACAATCAATCGAAATAAAAAGATTATATTATCGAAAAACATTTGCCGGTTTTATAACAATAACAAAACCAAGAGGAAAGAAATGCAGAGCAATTGTTTGTGACAAAAACGTATAAAGACATTATATTATACGAGCTACTATAAATAATATTTAATCTAATATAATTAAGTATTATTAAGTATTATTTAATTATATTAGATGAAGTATTATCTAAGAAAGTATTTTTTTACATGCTATGTTTGCTCTCGAGCTGTCATATAAATATATACTTTACGGCGAACAATAGCAGTACCGAAGAGGTTAATAGTAGTCTTTCCTTTCATATTTTTTTTCTATTTCTGTTTTTTCTTTTTTGTGTTCTATTTCTTAATCAACAATGTAAATACTGATCATCGGTTTTACATATATTCATTCCTTGGTTTTCGTGGCAATTTTTTTTTAATTTCAACGCAACTTGAAAATCTTTATCTTATTTATATACATGCATTGGATATATTATATATCAGTAAACCACAAATTCCTATTCGATTGTATTAATCACATCATTTTGATCATTTTTTTGTTCTACTTGGAAAGCGTATTAAATTCGTTTGAAAAAATGAGATAAAAAAATGTATATATCGACATTTTTCTTCAAGTATGTTATACGTGGAAGAAATATTTTCATAATTTATATTTGACTTTTGCTTATACGCTCATCGCAAGTAAAGCAAAAAATGATTAAAATGGGAAAACCTAATAAATATTTGCTCATGGTTGATATATAACATATTTAATAAATAAGACGTAAGGGATTTTCAAGAAAAATATATTTTTTTGAGTGCGTAAAGTAAATACGCGCGCGCACGAGGGATAAATATATTTCTAATAAAATTATTGAAAACTATATATCAGTCAAAACTTAATTTTAGAAATATTCTTTTGTTATACTCGCTTTGTTAAACTCCAATTGTATACCTTGATTTGATTATTGGGCACTCTTGCAGAGTGGATTAAGCGAGATCAAAATCGAAAAACATTAATATAGACGTGTTTTTATTTCTCTATGTAACAACCAATCTAACTTGAGAATACATCTATAGAAACTGATATATATGTTTAAAAGCGATAGTACAAAGAGAAATAAAAAGCGCTTAATAAGTGCCCCGTGTTATCGGATTTATCTTATTTATTCTTTAGAGTCTCCTAAGTGACTTTTGATCACATATCTTTTATATTTATTACTGGATTTCGAAAAATTCGTACAATGAGATTTCTTATTTTATTATGAATAATCGTCAGGCGCAAATAATAAAATCGTAAAAATGAAACTGTGTCGGGTCGTGCATGGAAGTATTTTTTTTCTGTCTCACTTTCGGAATAAACGTTCAAACAGAAATTTCATTTTAATGCATTCCTCGCACACTAAATCTCATTTTCATATAAAGTATTATTTTTCTCTGCGACAGGGAAAGTGCAAGGAAACAATTGTTGGTATCACTAATGCATGCTTTATGATAATGTTTATAACACTTTAAGCCGTATACCGATAATGATACATGTACGGCATAATGAGGAGAAATCAGGATTGCACAATTCAGCTTTCTTTAATTGCACAAATTTTTTTGCAATTGGGTGGTTAAATGTTTGCATTATCGTGGAAAAGAATAAAAAGAAAAGCAACATACAAGCAAAAAGGAAAATTATAATGATCATACAGATAATTTATTAAAAAAAAGATAATTAATACACAAAGATACATTTGATACAAAAATTAATTGTAAAGAATACATGTTTAGTAAGGAAAATTATCATGAACTTAATGAAAATAATAATCACAATAAAGTGAAAATAAACCGAAATCTTGAAAAATTATCATTTTTTCTTTATTCCTGCATTTTTTTTCCCAATGCGGAATAAACTTATTTTTTTGTTATATTGCACGTTTTATAGAAAAAATAGAAAATTTGTATACATTTATTAAATTCTAAATATTCACACGTTTCGGGTTTTTTGACCGTATCGGCATCGATCGATGACACTGCATCTGTTGATAAAAAAAATGCGAATCGGTCGCAAATAAAATACGATCCCATTGTTTTATCAGCAGATTTAGCATCGTCGGTTGACGCTGATACGGGCAAAAGTCTGAACCGTGTGAATTTACTGTAACGTGCACCGTTTTCGGTACTTGAATTTAAAAGTGACATTTCAAAAATTAATTAACAATGAAAGTATTAAACAAAACTTTTAAAATTTCGTGTCACCAATTAAAAATTTTTTTCACTTGATTTTAGAAATATCACATAGTTCAAAGTAAATTTTAAAGTCTCTTTTTTCTTCAGACCTGTAAGCATTTTTTGTGCAAAAAATCGTTTCTTTATATAACAAAAGAAAAAGAAAATTTTATAAATCATAAATATATATCACAAATTGTCAATAAATTAAAAAGGAATATAAACATTACATATAACGATCACAAGTAAAGAAATATTAAAATCAATGATAAGGTACATACACAACATTTTTTTTTTTTTTAATACTGTAGCGGTTTTAGTATAGCGCATAAATATAATTTTTATTATAACAAAAAAAAAAAAAAAGAAAATAACGAAACATGCACTAGAACAGATTATGATTGCTTGAAAAGATTATGATCTTGCTCAAATGTAATATGATTGGTTAAATGTTTTTTTTTTACAGAAAGCAATAAGAAACTTGTCTATGCATAATGATACGGGTCAACTTAGTTGAGCGTCCTTAATTTATGTAGTCCGTTGTGTATTTAAGAATATAACGCAAATGGATTAAACACAAAACAATTACACAAATAATATAATTACTCATATACATAATGCTAATTAAAAAAAAAGAAATATCGAAATAATATATAAAAGCAAACGAGATAATGTGATAATCTTTTTTTCCACCCTCTTTTTTCTCTTTTTTTCTAATTTCATCTTGCCTTTTATCTTTTTTTTCGTTCTATGTTATTCCTAATTTCACACAACGTATGTTACACAACATATCAACAGAAGAATACCGGACTTTTCTTTTTCATTTTTACTTTTTTTTTTTATTATTTTCTTTTATTTTTTTATTTATTTATTTTTTTTTATTTTTTTTATTTTTTTTATTTTTTTTATTTTTCTTAAATCAGTCTTACTTCAGTCTTATGCTGGTGTGAAATATAATCGATGACTTGACCTTTGATGATTACAAAATAAAGCAAATGTTAATACTATTTCAGAGGCCTCTTGTCATATTTTGTTCTTTTTTCTTTTCTTTCTAGTTTCTTTTTTTTCAACAAAGATTATTAATTATATACTTACGACAGACGCAGTTTCGTTTCTTTTTCTCATTGTCCGGTATGATATTAATAATCAATAAAAAATTTCGACTCTAAGAGTTTCGATCTTTAAAAGATCGTGCATGCATAAGTGAATTAACACAAATTGTTGACAAATCGCATAAAGTACAGCAAAATGTGCTTGATATGTAGGAGATTAATTTTTGTTAATCGTGTCACTACTATAAATTGTACGAAATGAATGTAGCAAGAAATTGTGAACGATCGAAATAAAATCTTCTATTTTCTAAATATTTGGGATAAGAGTAATAAGTAGATATACAATCTCTCGATCTTATTTCATCACAATTTTCTATTTAAATTATTTTTCATAATTCACAATGCGCATCATTGATTTAAGCAAATAATTAAAAATATTTTTGCAAATATATAACTTACGATATGTGGAATGAAAAGAAGTCATTTAATTCGGAGATATCAATAAAATAAGATGGAGAGATCATACATCTACTTATTACTCTTATCCCAAATATTTTGAAAATATCAATAAAAAAATGTTATTTAAATTATGAAATAACATACATAAATATTTAAGTGAAACATTCTTCCTTGAAGGTCGTCATTAAACATATATTGCACAACGCATTATTTCAAATGCATTGTATGTTCGTAATTGTTCTATAAATAAAGGACGTCTCATCGTTATACGACTATATTGAAAACAAACAATAATCATTATCTCATGTAAAATTTTTGTTATCCTTCTCTTGCATCTAAATATCTATCGATAACTTCTCCAACCTTCTCTTATGATAATCTTTATGATGTAAAAGAAAAACAAAATATTCAAAACAATAAAAGTTTCCTTAACCCTTTTTATGATAATATAAAAAGATAAGCAACATATCGTTTATGTGTCGTTTTCCAGTTAAAATGTGCTTTTTTTGCTATAAAAGTAGACAGATAAAAATTCGATTCCTTTTACTTACGATTACGTAAAAATTTAATTTGTTTAAAATACGAATTAAAAAATAACGAAAATATCCGAAACATATGAAACAATCAGCTTTCTTCAATAAATAAATAATTGGAATCGAATGACTTTTATAGTAAAATATGTAAAAAAAAAAAAAAAAGGAGAGAACAAAAAGAAAACACGCAAAATAATAACGATTATCTCTTTATGTTGTTCTCTTTTTTATCATAAGAAGGTCTGAGAAGAACTTATTGTTTTGAATATTTTATCATTCTTTGACATATTTTGTGATATTTTCATATCTTTTTAATATATTTGATCGGAGTTCTAAGACCCGATTGTGCACGCTTTAAAACAATATATATATATATATCTGTTTGTGTATGTGTTTGTGTATGCGCGTGTGTGTATATATATATATATATATATATATATATATATATATATGTATATATATGTATATAGGAAGCATAATAAACCGGCTAATAGCATATTTTTCGAACACTCTGAAACCGAAGATTAGTTTTCTTTTCTCTCTATTTTTTTTGTACTCGTATCTTGGCACCGAAAGTGAGGAAGGAACATCCATGTATTCCCGTATCATATTATATACAATTAGTACGAAAATATTGCTTCTAATGTCTCGCGAATGAACAAAAACGCGGTCCTTTTGTATCCTCTTTTGGATATTTATGATATATATATCTAATATATGTATATGTGTGTGTATATATATAGAGAAAGAGAGGAATATACGTAAGAATATCTACACTTCGTGTTTGATACTCGTGTTTCATCAAAATTCATTTTAATACAACATGGCCCGATTGTTACCGAAATCTACGACTGCGATTCTACCATCTGGGCATAATGCAACACCAGATGGTCTGTCTACTTCACCTAATCCTGTACCGAAATTGCCAATTGTAAATTTATAGGCTCCAGAAGAATTAAATACCTGTATTCTATTATTTCTTGAATCAGAAATAATGATGTTACCGTCATCATCTATGGCCATGCCTTGTGGTCTGAGGAATGGTTTTTGACCTCTGATGTTTTCACAATTGAGAATGCGAGAGTTCATAAAGTCAATATCGATGATAAGAATTCGATGATTGTTGAAATCCGTACAGACAACGTTGCCTTCCGGATTGAAAGCTATTCCACGAGGCGAGTCGAAGTATTTCCACATACTAGGATTCGTTTCATGTCCAAATTTACGAAGAAAAACACCTTCTGGACTGAACATTTGCAGACGATGATTTCTTGAATCGGAAATAACTATTAGACAATCGGAATTTACTGCCACACCCCATGGGTAGTTAAATTGACCGCATAGACTTCCTCTCTCGCCAAAGCTCGTTATATAGTGACCTTCCATCGTTACGATCTAGAATAGTGAAGTGAGCATGCGAGCGTGCATATGTGTTTGAGTTTTAGAGATCTTCTCTATATGTAAATACAGTATAGTTAACATACTGTACTTTGTTATTATTGTACGATAAAATTTATGGTACCTGGACACGATGATTATCTTTATCAGTAACAACGATACGTCGACGTGCATCGACTGCTACACCAGCAGGTCGATCAAATTGTCCAGGACCAGTACCGTATGTACCAAATCTTCTGACTAAGGTACCGTCCAATCGATAAATTTGTATACGATTATTAGATCTATCAGCTAGGATTATGTTTCCCTCCTTGTCGCATGTAACACCCCAAGGTCTGCAGAGACTATCTCTAGGATCGCCATTATTTGCAATTATTTGCGGTGGGCGGTTAGGAGTATTTGATCCAAACCAAACTGTCACAGGATAATCATTCATTGGTATTGGCCTTCCTCGTGCTATAGGAACTATAGTGTTTGAAGGCGATCGAGGAAACGGTGATGATGGTGGTAACATTTGTGAATTTCCACGGCCTTTCAAAGATCGACGATCACCTATGTGGCCTGGATTGTTCACTACGATCGAGCCCAGGTTTATAAGGCTCTGAATCGTGTTAGATGATGATCCAGTAAATGTTATCCAGGGTTCTTGTGCCGGGGGTAAATTATGCCGAATCTGACGAACTTTATGCATCTGAAGGTACGATAAAATCTATGATTAATAATATACTACAATATTATCTCTGTTGTGCCGCAAATCATCAAATTGAACAAAGATATCAGATAGATAAGGTGTATCGCATGTGATCTGGTGCAGAGCATTTCTGACGAACAGCATTTTAAGGATTACTTTGACTTCGAATTGTAACCAACACGTGTCGCTATATAAACATCGTTCAACTTGAAACATCACGCAAAGAATTCCCAAGTGGATGATGAGAGAGAGAGAGAGAGAGAGAGAGAGAGAGACTCGTCGGAAAAAGCTGTTTTCAGTTAGCAATGGAATTTCAAACGGTCTAAAGAAAAATCACGAGCATTATGTAGTTTTCATAAAAATATTAATAAATCTATCTATAAAACTTCTCTATTTCCGAATTGAAGTATCTCTCAATCGTTGCTAAGATCGTTGCTCACAACCTATCCTCGAATCTCACGATTCTACGTAATGACTTTCATGGGCACAACATCTTTATATTATTTTATACATTATAATATCCATTTCTAATTATTATATATATTTGTTATTTCCTAAATTATTTTTTAATACCTCTGATGCCGCCATATCCTTGCTGATTATCAATTCTCTTGGATTATTGCCCATTGTATAGGTTTCAACCGCTGTGCTAAGTTTCTTCATGGTTTTCGTCAATTGGACTATTCCAATCCGGAGTCCATCGTCTCTCGCTTTCAATGCCGAGAATTTTAATAATTTTGCCTCTTCAATTCTCTGTAACAATTCCCTTTCACGTGCCTCTAAAGCACTTGTTATTTTTTTTACACATTGTATCACGTCAGCTGTTGCCTGTCTTGCTTTTCGTTCTAGCAGCTCAGCAGCCATCTATTACAATGAAAATAATAAAGTTCTAATCAAATTTGATTCGAGTCATTTTTCTTTAATAATTCAATGTTAGGAATTGAAACAATTCATAACTATAATTTTTATTATAGATTGTACATACCTGACATGAGTTCAAATCTTGTCTCATAGTATTAATTCCACCTCGGGCTTCGTTCATTATTCGATTAACTTCCGCCGTGGCACTTTCCATCGCTTCCGCCACATTTATCGTCACGTGTCCATTGTGATAGACACCACATTCTCCGCAATAGGATTGACTACAAGTTTGACAGTAAAATTTGTGAGCTGCATGAATTTCGCAATGGACTACTGGCCTTCTTTGAAAATGTGGCACGGGCATCAGCGCTAAATTCGAGGTTTCTTGTACATTTTGGATTGTGTTTCGTTCTGGTATCGAATTAAAGTCCAAGTGATCCTGCACAAAAAATCGTTATTTGTTATTTCATTATGAATATGCTAACAATAAGTAATGCAGGCATATAATATAATTTGATAATTTTCATTCAAAGAATCGTTATTCACATCTATTCGATATACGAACACGTATATTCAAGTATTATTTAGTTTAATACATGTCATTCATTATATTACTTTTTTCTTAAAGATTTTAGTTGCTTCTACAGATTTCTATGATCTTCATTGAGCAAAGTCAATGATCGATCAGAGACTTCAAGATATCATCTAGTTACGAAATGTCTTAACTACAAATTTCAGAACCGCCCCTAGCGATAGGCTATCTTTCTTAAACTCATGTATATCGGCATGCCATCTATCGGCGATATTTTCCAATCGACTTTGTAAACGCACTTCCCTGATGATATGTTACATGCCACACATACAAGTATGGAAGACAGACTGTATATAAAAATATGAATCAATTGATTTGTAAATAATTCTTTACAAAAGAATTCATGAACTATTCCGTATAATTGGTATTTTTTGATAAGGAAAATTTAAAAAAAAGAAAGAAAAAAAATTGTTCCAACGCACCACTTCCACCAAAACGTTGCTAAGCGAAAGACATAGTTCTAAGTAAGAGGAGTTTCCCCTTACCGATTGACGTCCTATCAAGCATGATTCGCAGGACCCATCTGGGCAGTCTCTACATCTATTTGTGAGGTCTCTTGATACAGGAAAACTAACGTTGTTAGAGATAGGACTGACGTTATAATTATCACCATTTACAACCTGTAAAAGGCTACTAATCAACGAATCGACGTTTAAATCATCCGGTGATTGGCTGTTGTACCCTTGAGAAGTTGAACTACTTCCTGATGATGTACCTGCTGGACTTTCCGAACCGGACTGAAACTAACATAAATAGTTTGTATTATAGAAAGGAAAAAGAAATGTTATGTTTAAAAATATTAAAAAATCGTTTGTTTGGCAATTTTAAAATAATAATGAGCTATCATTTGTTGTCTTTTCTTTCTTTAAAAAGTCAGCTAAAAGATTAGTTAACTTTTTCTTAATGCGTTTAAAGTTTCTTATATACCAGACATAATGCATTCATGTCGACGTTGCGTTCCTGCGACTGTTGTTTTATTTGTTGTGCTTGCTGCTGCTGTAGTTGTTGCTGTGGTAGTAGTTGTTGCTGTGGTAGTAGTTGCTGTTGCTGTGGTAGTGGTTGTTGCTGTTGCTGTGGTAATGGTTGTTGCTGTTGCTGCTGTTGTTGCTGCTGCTGTTGTTGTTGCTGTAATTGTTGTCGTTGTTGTGGTTGCTGTTGTCGTTGGTGTTGCTGTTGTCGTTGATGTTGTCGTTGATGTTGCTGTTGCTGTTGTCGTCGTCGTTGTTGTTGATCCCGTTGATATCTTCCAAAAAAGTTCATGCCACGATTGTAATTCTGACTACGTTTCATCTTGATAGATTAAAAAATCTGCAATAATTTTTTTTCTCGTTGCTTTCTTCAGATCTGAAACATTAGAGGGGCAGTATTGTGATTTTTTATTTCCATTTTCCTTTTAACGCATTCAAAGGAAAGAATTCATTATTGTTTCCTCAGGACCATATGACAAATGCATTAATTCATTGTTTATCCGATAAGAAAATAAATAAACAAAAGAATACTCAATTAAAACGTAAAATATAGAAACGTCAACATTTGAAAAGATATATCTTGATATCACATGGATACTGTTTGTTCCAGTTTTGAAATCGGGACAGCTATACGCAGCTGGTTCAAGGCCACTGTCTGTGTATCTACTCGTGCAACAAGGAAGCAGAATACCCTTCTGCTCTTGGGATCGAGAAATAGGGTCCCGCTTCCACTCATGGGACCCCACGGAAATCAATAACCACGGGAAATCGGCGTAGATACATATATATCTCTTTCGCGAACGAAAGCCTCCGTGGTCCCTTTCTCGTCCCTCAGCTGCTCGAATCTATCCCGAGATTGATATATATCCGGAAAAGATGTTTTGTCTTTTACACGAATAAAATAATAATTACATCAATTTTCAACGATCCAATTTGTTTGAAAATTTTACTTCTGATTTCCTTACAATAATAACAACCTATATAAATTGATAGGATTTAGAACGAAACAAAATTTTCCTTTTCCCCCCTCATTGAATGAAAATAAAACAAGCCGATATGAATGATACAAATAGAAATAAATCTTTCTGGACCTTGATCTTGTAGATCTTACCAATTAGACCGATCGCTGCAAAACATCAATTGTCGAATTGGTCGACTTATCGAAGATTCATTATCAAAGAATATTTTCCTTCTACTTTTAATTAGATCGAATCGGCGAATTATTATATTTATCATTTATTATTAATCAATTTCAAATCGAACGAGGATTATAAAATATTAATTAATTACTTTACATGTGATCCGTTATAGACAATAATAAATTTCACTTTTCATGATTCATCCAAGTAATTTCTCTCTCTCTCTCTCTCTCTCTCTCTCTCTCTCTCTCGTTTTAATAATTCCGATAAAAGCGACCGAAATAAAAAGTAAGAAGAAGTAAGAAAAAGAAATAGCAATGCGATTTTTCATGAAAAATTAAAAAAAAAAGAAAGAAAGCAGAGCAGCGAAGAGGAGTATAAGTTGGAAGAAAAAAGAAGAAAAAAGAATTATTCATTTTCCGGATACTTCGTGGCACTTCGAGGGTGGTATCCTTGAAATCGCCATGGCGACCAAGGTCAGACCTGCTTTTCCTCTCGAGGGTCAGAAAGGAGGAGAAAGTAAAAGGTCCGATACCTACGCAGAGGGTCGGTGGTGGCGGTGGGTGGTTTTGAAGCAATGCGAGCGCGCATGAACCACTTGGTTCCTCGCATTTACGCGCAAAAAGAGAGAGAGAGAGAGAGAGAGAGAGAGAGAGAGGGAGGGAGGAAAGAAGAGAGACGAAAGGAGAGAGGGAGAGAACGCCCACGCGCGCGAACCTTGTGGCGCACGTGCGCCTATGTACCACTACCACCATTGAAAGTAACCATCGTCGACCCGTTCGTACAAAGGTGAATTTTCTATGTGAATTCGTGAAAAGAAAACCCGAAGGAAAAAAGAAGGGGAGAGGGAGAGAGGAAGAGGGAGAGAGAGATAAAAAGATAAAAACTCTAACGGAATTTTACGATACCGAGTAGCCAAAACTTCTTTTTGCAGAAAGATTTTTATATCGTAGATTATACAAAAAAATTATTATACTTGTACATTTTGAAAATTTACACATTAATCCTTTAATTCTGTATCATCTATATATCCATTTCCTTTAATCTTTTCGACAAGTTCGTTTGAATGATTTTGGAATGTTTCCAACTCCAAAGAACTTTCCAAGAAAAAGTTCGAATTTTGTTTGAAGAAACAATTGGTTAACATGAAAACCTATTCGTTGTTCGACAAGATCAAATATCAAAATATTAAGATAGTGTCCTTTAAAGGTATAAAGAAAACAAATTCAAATTTTAACGAGAAAGAATCATTTCGATATCGAATAATTTAAGGATGGCATTTTAACATCTTATTTGTACGTAAAACATATGTATGTACTTGACTCTATTCGTTTTCGATTTTTGTTTTTTTAAGCGAACATAATGTTACAGAAATAACAATGATGAAGTTGGTCATTTTCGTGAATTATTTGATGTAACATCGCACGTTGACGAATGGCTTTTAAATTTCTTACAGTTATTCGAATTTCAATATAATTCGATAAATATACCTTAGGACACAAAAAACTACGTTTGCAATAAAAGCTGAAAATTATTTTCTCACTCACTCTCTCTCTTTCTTTATTAAATTTCTATCGAATTAGTTGCCATACGTTTAACAAGGACTTTCATAAAATTACCGTATATCATTGTATAGCTTCGAAATAAATTTGTAAAACAATGAACATTTTTAAATGATATTATATCGATAGAAGAATTGATATTTCTATATTTATTGATATGATATATTTTTTTTTTTGTTTTTTATATAAATACCTTATAGATTTATAGAAGACTTCATAACACACTAACCGTTTCGTCCTGATGTCGAGCACCGTCTAACTTCAGCAGCATAAACATTTGATGTTGACGACACCGATGATCTTGTATATATGTTATCGTACTTATAAACAGATATTTACATATATACATATAGTGCGAACGCGTTTCTCTTAACACAATTTTAGATAGAAATTGTGGAGAAAAAAAGAGGCCTTGCGTTTTTGGCGGCAACAAAAATACTAATCTTTTTCTCAATTTTGCTACTTGTTCCCTTTCCTCCACGTGTATTTCACAAAATACAAGAAGATCTTGCACCTCTCGAGCTTTCCGTCCGCACTAAAGTCGAATTCGTCTACTACAGTAGTTTTAACCGAGCTTGAAGACCCGCGTCCCCCACTACTCGATTCCCGTTCAACCAATCGGAGCCGCGCAAGCGCATCCCCTTCTTTCTCGCCCTCTTTGTCTCTCTCCCTTCTCTATATATGCGTATATCTAATCCACACCCCCATTGTGCTATGTTCGCCACTGTCAGGCCACCGAATTCCTCGAAATCTCTTTGACTCTTTCTTTCTATACTTCTTTTACTCTTTCTTTTTCTCTTTCTATTTATCATCACATTGACAATGTTAAATGAGTCCAACAATTTGCATTATGTACGTTCATTCCTCAATTACCAACATTCCTCAATTGACCTGCCACGAGATTTCTTATTTAATATATATGATTATATTCAATTGACTTTTCTTTTGCAATTCGGACTGACGATATCTTTTCCATGTACGAGCTGTTTTATTTTTATCCCATGGACGCATCGCTTGTTCGCTAACCCTTATGTATTGACCTTGAGAAGGATTCCACGAACTGATATTTTTTTCTGCTCTCATCCTATGAACCCTTCGTCGTATTTCGATAAAATCACACTTCTCGTTCTTTCTCCATCTTAATAAATACGATCAAATTGATATCCAATGATAGATATATAAACATATAACATTTCGGTCAGAATATCAAAAAATCTCCTTTCTATGAAATTTTATGAAAAGCGTCAATACTTATTCTTCTATCTGCCGAATCTTTGCTCATTAAGCACAAATATATTTTTGTTTTATTTTTTAATCGTTCCCCAATACTTATCAATCTTCGTCCTTGATCCTTTGATTTGTTTCAAGATCTGTAAAATTTCATAAAGACATTGAAATGTATCGTTTTATGTGGACGCTCGAGAGTAGGAATTTAATTTACAATTCTCTCGATTACGTCGGAGATGCAAGTCACCCCTCTAACCCCTTTCACATCGCCATTCGCCATGCGGCTTTACGATAGAGCGCTTGCGTCAGGATATCATGAATGGAAGCGTCGCTCAATGCAGCCTCGGACATTATACTTTTATTTGCTTCTCGTGGAATGCTGCGGTTTTTCCTTAAAACGGCCGAACTTCGTCCAAAGTCAATTCGATAAATCACATTTCTTCATTTTTACAAGTCTACTCATCCGAATATATACATTAAGTAAATTTTATTAAATATTGGCTTTGATATATATATATATATATATATATATATATATATATATTCAATATACATACATATATATATACATATATGTACGTTATATATATGTATATATATATATAATGTAAAAATTCTTACAATTCCTTTTTATCATCAATTTCGAACATTATAGTATGACTCGTATCTGTATTAGAACTTCTTTCCTTTCTACGATCTCTTATTCAACTTAATCAACGAATCGACGTTAGAAAAAATGATTCTAATAGTAAGACGTATAATTTTATGAATGGACTTGTACATGTGTCACGGCCACGTGGTGGGGTGGTACTGTGTACCGCTTTAACGATCGAGCCGTGTGAAACACATTCTTTCCCTGCTTTCTATCTATCGCGTCAGCCCTTCTCCATATTCCTCTCCACCCCTTATTACTTGCTACCAACCACTAGGTGCGCGTGGGTGAGCACGCGCGCGCACGCGACATCGGATACAGGTGGTGAACTTCCGTACGCCGACGATATAAACCTATGTGTATGTACATGTATGTGTATGTATTTTCATCTCTATGCACAGAAACGCAGAGAGCTCTCACGAAGCTGCATCAATAAACGTAATCAGACGTACACTCACTTCTCTCTCTCTCTCTAGCTCTCTCTCCCTCTCTCTCTCTCCCTCCTTCTCTCTCTCTCTCTCACTCTCTCACCCTCTTGTTCTCTCGATAGGGAGATAAAAATTTTTCCAAAAGAGAATATTCATTCTAAATTCTGTGACTCTTTTCTGACAAATATTCTTATATAATTGCTCTTAAGTTTCAACATCTTCAGAAGAAAATTTTTTATAAAAATTCTTATAAAATTCTTACTTCCGATACATCTTATCGAAAAAATTAACTGGTGAAAGTATCTGTAAAAGATAAGATAACGTTCTAATAATTTTGTTTAAGCGAGATAACATAGTACTATTCTAACAAGATATATTTTTTCTTTGTATATACCGTTTGTAACAATCAAGAAAAATATTATATATATATATATATATATATACGTGTGTGTGTATATATAAATAGAAGTTGAAAAAGAAATATTATCAGATAAGAAAATCTTGTTTTTGTTCTTTCACAATTGAACGAGCATTTTCATATTGTACGATAATTATGTTTCTAAAGAATAAAGGGAGATGTTATAACTAAATGTTATTAAAAATCATCGTAAAAGATTTATCTACTCAATATCATCAAAATACCAATTAGAGGAACGTATAGATATATTTATATATTATATCGAATACAGTAATATCTTGTAAAGTAAAAAGAGAAAAGAAAGAAAGAAAGAAGATGTATGTGTGTGTGTGTGTGTGTGTGTGTGGTAGGTACGTGCGTTGTACGTCGTCGCGTATCTCAATGATAGGGTAAAGGAGGGGCAAAAGGGAATGGGAACGTCGATGAACGAATATCCTTACCCCCTCTTTCTCTCCCTGATACGTGGGTGCTCCCAAGGTCACCGCAAGTGCAAAACTACGTAGTACGACGCCTCCGTCGCGACGCCCGCGCATGAAACGTGGGCGCCGCGTGTATATATATAGATATCTCTACAGGTCGTTTCGTTTCAACAGCACCACTTTTACGTTTAAGCCCTAAGAGTCAAGAACGTATATCAATTTTATTGTTTGTTTTTTGCAAAACAATTATTTTTTATTTTTTTTTTAAACATGATTTTGCTAAATTCTCAATTCGGGTGATTTGCAAAGAGTAATTCTCTTGACAAAAATCTAACTGAAATTTCTTAAAGGGAAAAGTCTTAAAGAAAATCTGTAAGTACACGAGTGTAAAAGTAAATAAGTATTAAGAATATGTATATGTGAGAAAATGATAAATTTATAATATACATACATAAATACATCGTAACGTTGGAACGTTGACTTCCCAAGATAAAAACAAAAGTAAATTGGAACGAACAGTAGATCGGTCGGATAATAAAATGATAAGATGATCCCACTTTTCTAACAGATTCCATATCTCGCAAGACGGGGGTTGGAATTCCTTAACACATTTAGCTCATTGTAAGTCTGCGTTACAAAAGATCTACGATTAAAATGTCTACTTTAAGCTTGGTGTCAAGAACAAAAATATTTGAATCATCGACTAGATTAAAGATTTTCATTAATTATTATACCATTTAAATTTAACAATATAGAATTTACCTTTTCGTAGATAAAGAAATATTAAAATCTTCTCTTGTTATTTTCTATACGGGAACGAGAATTATGTTTCGTTAGTTTTCTAAATAATATTTGAAACGGAATTTTGAAAAATCCCTGTTGCTAGGCCGTTTCACCGTATTACCGATGTACCTCATTGTTCCTATTGACATAGCACGAGTGCTGAAAAAAGGGAAGGGATTTTCGATAAACGTTGTAAATTCTGCAACGACCAGTTCTTTTTTCTTTCTTTCTCAATTTTGCACGTGTTGAATTTTTGAAGAAACACGAATACAAGACTTTTACACGAAACTACGAAATCTTTCGTAATATTTGTATCCATTGATAATATTTTTTCTGTTAATCCGTAATAATAATTATAATAATAATAATAATGTGTATAGTAAATAAAATTTTGGCACGTTTAAAGTTTCTAATTCATTAATATTTTTATCAGGATTTTTAGAAAAATGAAAAACGCTTCTCGCGTACATACATTTTATTTTCTTCGTACATTGTACGGTCTCCAAAAATACGAACAATGATCCTTTGCTGGAAATTGCCTGCGCCACGGGGTGCTTTACCTATTTTTCCTTTGTTCCTAAATTTTCGAGATATTATTGTACACCTGGCATACCCTCAGTGTACAAAGTTTTTTTCTTACTTCGTTGAATATACGAAATAAATGTTATTTCGTAACTACATACTTTTTCCAACGTATTGACTTATCAACCAATGACTTATTAATAATACGTGCACTTAAAAGAATATATGATTTTTTTCAGACTCTTCATTTATAAATAAAATAACAAAAACATAATTTTGAAATTTCATTTAAAGCTATCTTAAACAGCAGAAAAATTTCTAGATTACACACAAAGATGTGTATTCTATGAGTGAAAAGTCCACGAAGAAATGTAAGGGATGTCCTTGAAAAAGAAAATGATTAGTTTTAAGAAAAATTTTACCTGACAAGTTGATTTACAATCTTTCAAAAACCTTTCAAGAGGATTAAAATTTCTCTAACTGACAAACGTTTCCCTTAAACTTTCACAAATTTAAATGTACCTTTAACGTGACAAGTAAAACACCAAAAAGACTATTCTCAAATAATTTTGTAAAATTTAATACGAAGTTCGTTCAAATTTTTGCTAACTTTCGAATTACAATTGATAAATAAATCGATGAAATTTTTTAATAATCATTAAATGATATTAATATTTAATAAATAATCTTCTATATTGTTAGTTTCACGGGGGAGAAAAGAACTATATCCAGAATAATAATTTTTCCCATAATGTTTTCAGGTACTGTACAAGGTAAAGTTTCAGGTACTGTTTCAGATACTGTAAATCCGTACAATATCCAAAAATTTTTCAAAACTGCATATCTGAATTGAAAAGTAAAACTTTGATTAAAAATATTCTGCTTCTTTTCATTCTTACTTGTAACGTTTATTTTAGATTTATAATCTAAAGTCTAAGGTCTAAAATAAACGAAAGTTTAACTGCATGATGCGAAAAAAAAAAAAAAAGAAAAAGAAAAAAAAAGGCGAAAAAAATTAGAAAAAAAAGTTTATTAGAAGAATATATCATATTATAAAGGAATCTTAAAAAAAAATGTTAACATATACGAATTGCATTTTTGCCAACAACAATTAAAACCCCGTCATCCTGTAAATCTTTTAAAGCATCTTCAAACATCTCACGTGTCACCAACTAAAAATTGATAAGTAACATATGTCAAGTAAAATATGTCATATAAAATGTCGTATAAATATGATAAAAAGAAATCTATAAAATATACTTACCACGTCTGATGCCCCTCTCAGTTCAGTAAAAATTTTCTGATAATTGAGCATAGATGTTTTACTTTTCGATTGAATTAATTTTTTCAAAGCCTCGATTAATTCGAATTTTCGTTTTCTGGCTGCTGAAGAAATTCCAGTAGTTAAGATACCGATATCAATTTTACCGCTTAAAGGATCGATAGCCGATTGTTTTAAAGCTTCCCGATGTAATCTATTTTAAATATAAAAGTTTATTTAATGATCATTATTAGTATAATATTTCCAGCATAATGAATTTATTAATCTTTAATCCTAACCTCCAGGCTTCTTCTACATCTTCTATTTCTACAACATTGCTAAATCGCATTTTCGCATGAGCTTCGGATAATCGTATTAAAGATTCTAATTGTCTCGGATACGCAGTAATTTGTCCACGACCACTACCTACTCTCCTCATATCAACATAAGCTTGAATCAATCTCTGTTGGCTCTCCTCGTTGAGAGTTGGATGAATGTGTTCCTTAGCAAATGCTATGTAATCACGAAGTATGCTCATATCTATGATTTCATCTTCATCCTCTAATTCTGTTTTATAATAAAGAGATACCAAATGGCGTGCTAATTTTCTATCAAAAACTTCACTTTGAGGATCTAACATAAGAAAGATCAAATCGAAACGAGACATTAACGTATGAGGTAACATCACATTCTCTATGACCTGAAAGTAAAAACTCCATTAATTATTATACTATATGATAAGTATTATATATAGATATATAAATATATTCACAGTTTTATTTTTATTCCATTGTGATCCACACGGATTTGCAGCAGCTAAAATACTTGTTCTTGCATTTAATTGACAAATAATGCCTGCTTTGGCAATGCTTAAGGTCTGCTGTTCCATAACTTCGTGCAAAATAGAACGAGTACTATCGTTCATTTTATCAAATTCATCTATGCAACATATCCCATTATCTGCCAATACCAGAGCACCAGTTTGTAATACTAACTGTCTAGTTTCTGGATCTTTAGTTACATAAGCTGTTAAACCAACAGCACTAGAACCTTTACCGCTGCTGTATTGTGAACGTGGGACCAAGTTGAAAACAAATTGTAATAACTGTGATTTGCTGGTACCAGGATCACCGCAGAGTAATATATTTATTTCCGAACGAAAATGTTTCCTTCTGATGATACCTTCACCTTTCTTTGTACCGCCAAAAAGTTGAAGTAATATACCTTTTTTCACATCTTCATTTTCATAAATACTTGGTGCTATATGCCTGGCTAATCTCTCATAAACATCTTCCTTTTGCGATAATAATTCTAAAAGTTCTACTCTCTCAGGTGGAAATGCGTGATCTTTACCTTCTTGCTGATCGTACAATCTTTTTGAATCATGTTTCCTAAAATGAACAACATCAATGTGTGTCTTATAAACGGCACGGACATTAGATTGTCTTGGATTAACGCGTAATGGCTGAGCACGATATATTCCTGTAACATATACTCTATCGCCAGGAGAAACGGCATCAACTAAATCATTATGTGCAAAAATGATAACAGTATGAGGAGTATGTCCAGCAGGCATATCATCAGGCGATTCTTGTAATTTAATCATTTGCTTGTCAGAAAAGTGGCTGCGATTGTGTATCAATGTAAAACAATAATTATTGTTACATTTTGTACAAGCTGTAGGCTCGACTATACGACCTCTGTCCATTTCTACTAAAGTTGAGAATCCACATATAATGCATTCAAAGAATGCTTCTCTCATCTCTGGCATGATATTAGATGTTCTAATTACCATACCAGAAACAGTAATTAATTGATCAATATCTTCTGGATTGAGTAAGCGCATACTTTTAGTTCTACTAACGTTAAACGGCCGTACTTGTATCTGATGTTCTAAAACTGCTGCTGGATATTTCTCGAAGAACATTTCATTGGCTGCCATATCCATAGTAGGTATGACTTCTTGTGGATAACATATTAATTGTCGATATAATTGTTCATCAAAAATCTCCAAATGCGCACAATTTATATTCAAATATGGTTCTTCTAAAGTATGAATTTCTTCGAGCTTTTGTAAATATAATGGCTCTGTTAAGTTCATATTTTCTGGTAACTCATCATTTTCAGCCTCTGGATCGATAAAGCGAAGCACGAAACGTTTGAATTGCTCTTTACAACGATTTACTACCACATTTGTACCCCATATTACCAATTGTGGACCTGCATTTTCACTTTCTGATGTACCTGGAATATTTGCTTCCTCAGGTATCTAAATAAAAAACAAAAATATTGTTCCATTGTTAATATTTAAATAATAATTGGAAAGTAAATATTTATTAATTTACCGGTTCAGATAAATTAACTTGGCGCATATGCTTGTCTGTTCTGATATCCGTTCTTTGCCGAATAGGCGTTCCTCTTACGCTACTTCGTGGAGTACGAATAGATCCTAAAGAACTAGGTGTACCATAATTCAATGGAGATGATAAATCTATTTCACTCATCCCTGGAGCAAGTGGACTCGTTTGTTGTGCTGCATTTGGAGAAGATGCAGGTATTTGAGAACCACCTTCTGATGATCCAGCGATCGTCTCTTGAATACGACGACTTCCCCATCGTAGTGGAGTTTCTACTGTATTGTTGCTAGGCCTTTTTTGTGGAGTTCCTGTGTAATGGAATTTTTATTATGTATTTTTTTTTTTCAAAAGAGAAGATATACAGTAAAATAATAATGCATAGAAAATCTAATTAAAATTCAGTCATTTCTTATTAAATTAATATTTTAAACATTTCAGAAATAAGAAATGTACGATTAAAAAACTATATTTTATAAAATAATATAAATTTTAATTGTATTCGTTACAAAACCTCTAACAGAACCGCTATCATTGCTTGCTGATCGGTTGGAACGAGGTGGGCCTAAAGGGCTTGACATTATGTAATTCCTGTCTTCGAATTATAAGTAGCTCTTAAACAACGAAGAAATCTTTAATTGGAGTAATATTAATATATAAATACTTGGAATAGGTTATAAACACTAGATTCAATCTACGTACATAACTCAATCTTTTCCCGGCAAAAATTTTCGTCCGTTAGATCTAGAAAACAGTAGGTTATTGCAAAATAACCTATCTTATAAAATAAGCACTCTGATTGGTCGAGCAGGAAGACTGATAAAGTGAAATTATTTTAAAGTTTTACCGCGTTATAGCATAGAAATCTATCAGACATTTTGATTAGCTCTCTTAGCATTTGTAATTAATCAAAATGATATTAATAAAAAAACTCGTAAAATATTAAAGATGATTCTAATAAAGTTAATTTTACAATAAATATTATTCTTCTGATTTATATATTGAACTATATTTGTTCTCAAGATAGAAGAAGTACATAAGAAGAAGCGCATGCGTTAATAATATTACACATATAAATATATTAATCTTCTAATTCGTTGTTTCCATCTTACAACTTACGCACACACGTATGAAGAGATAAATGTGTTCTGTTTGTGAACTTAAGGAAAACCTTTCTTTCTCATTCAATCAATAATCGATGTAATGGAAGGAAAAAGAAAGTGAAAATGGATTAATATTAGACTCTAGTTATTTTTTGTATCTTGAGATTATTTAGTATAAGCTACGTAAGTGTATAGACCATCCTTGAGAATTTTTTTCTCCTAATTGCCTCTCTACGTTTCCCGCCAACATGGCAAATATGGCGGCGCTCGTGTAGTTTCCCGCCAAGGAACAGCTTTAGTAGAGCCATTCTCGTATGGCGCAGATAACCGATACTTGTGTTTAATTTGTCCATATTATTTTAAAGTAATTGTTCATAATATTCTCCGTGCAAAATGGGAGAGTCGGAAGATATGGAGGATTCAACTTATAGTAGACATCAAGATTTATGTCAGAAATTAAATATGGATGCAACTGCTGCTTCGGAAGCTTGGAGATCTTACGAAACTATTCGACAAAATTATACGTTAGAGGTGATTTTAACATTAATCTAATTAAAGAAGAGATTTATTCTTAATAAAAACTAAACAAAATATATTTCTTCTATCTTCCAAACATAAGACCAAATAAATCTTCTTTTATTTAAATTTCAAATTGTTTCAAAGCTGATAATAATCTGTTTCTCATCATATATGTTATTTTATTTCTATTAAATATTTTTACACGAATATCAAGAATTTAAACAACAAAATCAATATTATTTAAGCTATCTATGTCATGTAAGTAAATTTAAAATAAATGGTAACTATATATATTTAATAATTGTCATATTTTCAGGGTGATCAGCTTCATTGGATAGGATGTGCTTTATATGTGGCATGCAGAAAATCTTCTACACCTATGGTTGGAAGAACAGGTAGTAGTGTAGAAGGAAATTGTGTATCTTTAACTCGGCTTCTACAATTATGCAATCTACCATTAATACAGTTTTTTACAAAAAGCAAATCTTGGGCAGACATGGCTAACATGTCTCAAGATTTCCGAGAAAAAATTGAGAAACTTGAAGGGAACTTTTCAGTTTCTATGGTGATTTTTAAAAAGTATCAACCAATTTTTACGGATATATTTAAAGATCCATCTGATGACATTTCAAGACCATCTAGATCAAGAAGAAATAAAACATATCCTTGTACACCATCTAGAGTTTTTGAATTTTGTTGGACATTATTTATTTGTATAAAAGGAGCATTCCCTGATATTTCTGATGATTTAGTTAATTCCTATCATTTACTTTTGGCTTGTTGCGATCTTATATATGCCAATGCTTTGATGGCAAATAGAAAAGATCTTCTAAATCCTAATTTTCCTGGTAAGATAAAGTCTTATTTTTAGTATTTGAAAGTAAATTCAATGAATATCTTAATACATGCATCTTGTTACAGGTTTGCCATCAAATTTCAATGATGAAAATTATGTGCCACCGCAAAATCCAAATTGCATTATTAACTTGTTATGTGAACGTCATGAAGCTGTTTCTGTTGAAGCTAAATGTATCAAAGAATATCACTTGAAGAATCATGTTAATAAATTATTTAATGAGAGAATTCTTCGTGGAGATCAATCAAATTTTTCTGGCATTTTAGAAGCTTTGAATTTTGATGGCAATAGTAAAGCTGTCAATAAAGCATATGAGCAACATGTGTTGAGTGTTGGAGACTTTGATGAAAGAATATTTCTAGGTAAAATTTCTTCAATTTTATTGAATGCTTATTGAATATTTCATTTTAACACATATATTTATATATGGCATAAATAATTAAGCTTTTGCATGTACTTACTGTTCTCTTTTGTTGTAATTAGTTTTTTTTTTTTTTTTTTTTTTTTTTTTTTTTTTTTTTTTTTTTTTTTTTTTTTTTTTTTTTTTTTTTTTTTTTTTTTTTTTTTTTTTTTTTTTTTTTTTTTTTTCCCCCAATTACAATGCTTTTGCAGCTCATACTGTAGTATTTAAAGCATGCTAACACGTTTCACATTTTCTATTTAAACTTATAGTAGATGTTATTTTGTTAAACAACGCGCATACACATCTATACTACTTAATTCATCTTTTTTTGTTTCATTGAATATCATTTAAGATCTATACATTTCTTTGTTTTTTACTATTACATTCAATCTAAAGAGATTGTCATTAGCTCTCTGTTTTTATCTTATCTTTCAATAATTTTCATTTCTCGCTGTTAACCAATTTGTGTCTGCTTTGCCTTGGCTGTGGTTTGCAGCAGAGTGGAGGCGAGTGAGACTAGGCGGAATATCAAGCTTGGAAATAGTTGGAGGAGATATTATTTGTCGTACTAAATTTGCAAAACCTATGCCTGTAAAAGGTAGGTTTATAACTTCTTTTTATTATTTCTGACGTTCAATTGGAAACAAATTATGGTATGTTACTAATACTATATTTTTTATTACTGTTGCAAAATTATATACGTAATATATACATATATATATATATATATATATATATATATATATATACATATATGTATATATATATGTATATGTATATGGATATGTATATGTATATAGAGAGAGTATATATAGAGTAGTTAATCGCATAGTTGTAGACTTACCTTTTTAAATTAGACACTTTATTATAATCGCTTTATCATTGTTCTCTTAAATTATGAAAATGGCCAAGCAAATTAATTTAAACATACCATTGTCTATATTTTATAAATATGTTAAGATACAGAAATATTTAAACAAAGGAATTTATTTATAGGTCAAGATGCTGGTGATAATATTGGTTCACCTGCACAGAGTAGTAGTAATAGCGATGTTCATGATCAATTTCAATCAAAACGAGATCATTATGCAGGGGTAAGTTCATGGTAATTTCATTTAAATTATATTTAAGTATTATACACTATAATTGTATAAATATATTTTTATCTTTACAGCAAATACAACATCTAGCTCCTCCAACTCCATTAACAGGTCGCAAATATCTCAAACCAAAGGATGTATCAAATGTAACTCCAGTTTTTACTGCTACTCAAAGTGTAATCCGTCTTCAGGCCATGTTAGCTGGTCAATCTTCACCAAGCACGAATTTATTACAAATATTCAATAATTGCACCCAAGATGTCAGAACATTTGTAACAACGAAAGTAAAAGAGATAGGTGAATTATTTTGTGCCAATTACACCAAAAGTTCAGATACTAGTGAAAGTTCGACTCTAGATTTTGGAAGGAAACGTCTTTATTTAGGACAAACTCTCTTCTATAAATTTTTAGAGATGATTCTTAATGATGAAAAACGTAAAAAGCCTAATTATGATATTACGGTAAGTCTAAAATATATTTCTAGAGAGATATAAACCATGATTGTATGTATAAAAAATATTTTACATATTTATTTCAGAATTTACTTATGAACGAAAGATTTATACGATGTTTATTTGCTTGCTGCTTAGAAATAGTTATTTACTCATATAAAAGTAACGATAAGGTCTTTCCATGGATATTGAAGGCCTTGGACTTAGAAGCTTATTATTTCTATAAAGTTATAGAAATCATAGTACGAGCAGAAGAACAATTACCACGCGACGTTGTAAAGCATTTAAGTCAAATAGAAGAAAGAATATTAGAAGCCCTAGCTTGGCAAAAAAATAGTCCATTATGGCAGGCCATTGAATCTACCATCGGTGAAGTACCTAGTTGTGAAGATGTTTCTCTACCTGGTACGTTAGAAACAGTTGATCCAAATACTGCGGGGCAACCAGTGCTAAGAAGAATTGCTTTGGATCGTGGACACCACCATGATATACAACAAAGTCCAATTTCTTCTGCATCTGAGAGGTTTTTATTTTTTATTCTTGTTGTTATTGCCCACTTGATATGCCAAATACTTGTATTTTAAATAATTCTAAATATTTCAGATTTCAATCGCCAATAACGGCATCTGGCATAGCTAAAAAACGTTTATTTCCTGATACCAGAACTAGTGGGCAGAGTGTTTTACGTGTTTCTTCTAAAGTCGTATTTGATGGTAATTCAAGAATACTTCTAGCATTACCTGATCAACTTACGGTGCCAAGGACATCTACTTCACAGACAACAACTAATTTATCACAAATCACACCAGCTACTAGGGAAGTTGGAAAACCAAAAAAAACCGGCTCCGTTGCGTTATTCTTTAGAAAATTCTATAATCTCGCATGTGTACGTATGCAGGATCTCTGTAATTCCTTAGATATTACAGATGTAGATTTACAGAAAAAAATATGGACAATCTTTGAATATTCGATAAAGGAGCGCACAGAGTTAATGAGAGATCGACACCTCGATCAAATTCTTATGTGTGCAGTTTATGTGATATGTAAATTAGTTAAAATGGAGAAAAATTCTTTTACCGAAATTATGCGATGTTATCGTTTACAACCGCAAGCAGAGTCTCACATATATAGGTCAGTACTTATTTGTAAGGGACCCCAAGAAATAAGATCAAATATTGAAGCATCAGGAAGTAATGAAGTTCCAACCGATGAGGAAGCTAATGTGGCACCTCCGACACCAACAAATATGGCAGGAACATCGCAAGATTTTGGAACAGAAAGACGTGGAGATCTAATTAAATTCTATAATACAGTATATGTGCCGCAAGTTAAGGAAGTTGCAAATAAATTAGGATTGGCACGTGGAAGTACTCAAACTCTTACTCTAAGCCCATTACCTAAAAGTAAAGTTCGTGCTAATTCTCCAGTAAGACGTGTTACAGACAGTATTTCGACACGTACGCTTGATCCAAAAGCAATCAGTGCATCACCCGCGCCACAATTAAGCTATTGTTTTAGTCGCAGTCCGGCTAAGGTATGTTTTTAATATACCATCATAAGTATAATCTTCATAAGTATGAAATAACTTATAATGTCTTGTATTTCTTTTTTTTTTTTCTTTCTTTCTTCCTTTTCTTTTTTTTTTTTTCTTTTTTTTTCCCCCATTTTTTCTTTTAGGACTTAGAAGCTATTAATAAAATGATGATTTCTGTGAGTGCAAAAAAAAGCGTCGGGAAACGACTTTTGTCAGACGATACTACTGATGTAGAAATGGTAGAGGGACCCTCTCCGATAAAAAAGTCAACGACTGTTGTCAGAAAACTAGAAAACATTATGGACGAGCGTCGTACAAAAAACCAATAATTCGTTTAGTTCGAAATAATCTTTACAATTTAAGTGAGAGTATACAAAGTGAAAATTCGAAGAGAAGTTTTTTTGTAAAATTTTATTTTTATAGATTAAGTTAAAATATCGGAGATATTACGATTAACAGATCTATTGTCTTTTTTTTCTTTTTTTTTTCTTTTTTCTTTTTTTTTTTTTTTTTTTTTTTGGATCTGATATTGTGACTTCTGTTAATCAATCTTGAAAAATCTATGAACAAAGAAAAAAAGAATGAACGTCAGATATATGCATCAGCAACGTAACACATATGTCATATATTGGTTTTAAGAAAGATAAGTGTCACTTGTCACTATCAAATTAAAGCTATTAAAGAAGGTGCAATAGTAGTTACTGCTATACCAATACAGAGAAGATCGAAATGCAATATCTGTTTTTGGCTATGTAGCATGAAATAAATTCTAATTATTCTTTTGTCAGATAGTATCATCAGGAATAAAAACAAAAGTTTTTCAATCTAACGTATGGAATTTTTTTTTTATTCTTTTTTTTTTATTCTTTTTTTTTTTTTTTTTCAACTTTAACAAACTTTTCAATTTTGCATGTTACGCAAAGTACAGTTCGTACATTCATCATATATGAAATTTTTTTAAATAGAACTATTGCTATTAATTTTGAATGTGCATAGTTCATTAAACGATTGTGTTAATTACACAATTATGATTTTTAAGATATTTTCTATTTCACAAAATATTGTAGTTGCGCCCTTAGCATTTTATAATAATTTTAGGAAAATATCATCTTCATCTCTGTATTGATATCAAAAAAGATGCATGCTATCATTCATAGTAATAGAAAAACTAATAACTCTTGCTTGTTAAAAATCAAGTAAGAATGAAAATATTTTTCTACAGAAATTGCGATATATTATTATTCGACAAATTATGTTGTTATGTGACTTCTCATCGATATCAAAAATTAGTATAAATAGGGCTTTGTCATTTACATCTCATAATAGTCATTACTTGTTATTGTCAATATTATTGACTAATTATACTTTGACTGAACAATTTGTTATCTTTACTTAGATAAACGTCGTACATCTAAATTTATATAACTGTTACTTGCTTTAGCTATGTAAAATTGTAATATTAATTTTACCAAAATATTTGAGCATATCAAGAGTAAGACAAATCAAGTTATATATATATATATAACACACATGTATGTATGTGTATGTTGCATGTATGTATGTATCTGCTACGTACGTATGACATCTGTATCTTTGCTGCTCTGGTATGTATGTGTGTATGTGTGGGTGTGTTGATATATATATATATATATATATATATATATATATATAATTTGACTAATTACATTTATTTTCTTTTAGGCGTAAGTATCAATTTAAATTGATTATTTCAGAATTAAAGAATTATAATTTTTACTACCAATGTACTTTCAGTTTGGAGTGTCGTAAGTTAGATAATTATTATGTGTACTATGAAATTTAGTCTATTTTGTCGATTAAACTCCAAGCGGTTTTTCATTTTTTTTTTTTTTTTTTTTTTTTAATTTTATTTAGTTCTAAGCAATTTCAAATTTGACAACTTGATCTCATGAGCCTGTCATTTAATATTAAATATAAGGTATATAGAACGCAAGTTGTAAGATACAAAAGATTAACTAAAATTGTAAAAAATCATTTCTTCACCTATGAAAAAAATTTGTAATTTAAGTTAGAAATGAAATGCTTTCATTTGAGAATAATGTTTAATTTTTAGTAAAACAAATTTTTAATATGCGCAATGACTATTCAATGTATGTAATCTTAGGAGAGTGAAAGTACTATCTGGAAACAAATATTAACGTGCGAGTTACTTTCTGTCATTTCTGGTATAGTTTCTATTTACAAGCTTTGAGAATGAAAAAAAAGTAATATAATATATTTGATTTATAAATATAATGCACGCTACCTGCAATTTTGTTACAGCGATTATGACAGTTCCTCTAACCATTTTTTAAGTTCTGTAAAAATTCAACATTCTATTAATCACAACTTTTAATATATATGTACATATATAATATTCTATCAAGTAAATTAGTTCAAAAAGATCGAAGCTCTGTTTCAGTTTTTATATATATATATATATATATATATAACAAATTTTTTGTTTATCCTTCGCCATTTAAATCATATCTCGTTCCTAAACACATCGATTTATATCGATATATCGATCCTAACAGATCGATTTCAATCTTGAATATCCTCTAACGACAAAATAGACAAACTACTTTTAAAAATGCTCCTCTGATAATAGTCTTCACGAGCATGTATACGCGTATATACAAAAAGCTTCTCTAAATAGTTCAAAATAGATTTATCGTTCTTTAATCGTATGTAGAATATAATTTAGTAAAAAAATGTCAAAAAACATACGAATTTGTATAACTCCTCATACAGTGTGTAGATCCATTTGTTCTAGTGATACAATGTACAAAAGTTATGTAGCAAGAGAAAGTAAATTCATATCAAAGTTACTCAATAGAAATGAACCTAAAAGGTAGAAATTAAGTGTACATGTTGGTGGAACTATTTACATAAGTAAAAATATTTATTAAGTATTTCTAAGAATCTTCGTTTGATCTCGCAGAAAGTGGTATAATAATAATACACCTGCTTCTTTGAATCCTTACACAAGCTCTCAGAAGAAACAACAATCCTCGATATACGTAAAGAGAAGGATAGACGTACTTAACAAATTGTTTATGAAACATATAACTGAGTTAATGTCAACTAGTGAAATTGCATCTGAATTGTACGACCGTGGTGTTGAAGTAACATATGTGAGTATGACTTCAGATTATAAAATTCTTAACGTGTTTTGGACATTTGAAAAGGAGGACGATAAGAATTGGCCAAGAAAAATCGAAGAAGTATTGGATAAATATTCATTTATTTTACGTCATGAACTATCACAACTCCGTGTGATCAATTATGTACCCATTATTAAGTTCGTGAAAGATATAATGATTTCTAGAATAAAAAACGTTGAAAAAAGATTTGCAATGTTTGATTTTGATAAAGATCATAAAGAAACTGATGATACAATTATACAATCAGACATTACTAATGATAATAAAACTGATAATTCTACTGATAAAAATCAAATTATATTACCACAAATGAAGCATGATGTTCTAGGATTGGATCACCATGGAATCATGTTAAAGGTATCGTCAATTAGATATGATCAAATAGACAATTAAATTCATATTATTGATTTATTCATTTGTAGATTAAAAACTCTATTTATAAATTAAAAAATCATACAAGTAGAGACAAGATGTTAAATAGAGAATCAGAAAAAATGATGGATCCTTTGTCTACTTCTCTTGATAACAAAGATACTCTTAGATACGAAAATCAACAAGAATTATTTATTGAATTCTTGAAGAAGAGAAAAATAGAGGAGAGACGAAAATATAGCTTTAAAAACCCTAAAAGAGTGGTAAAAAATCCATTTTTAACACATGATGATGCTGATGATAAAAATACAGAAACATACTTTGACGACAACTTTGAAAGTACCTACAATAAAATTGATGAACATGATTTTGAAAAAGAAAAATTTTAATAGAATAATCAATCAATGAATTAATTGATACATTCTTTTATTATTTTATATAAATATAATACTTAAGTGGAACATTTTAATTATTTATACATAATAATTTAATTACATTATATAAATCTGTTAATCAACTATTATACAAACAAAGAATACGAAAATCTTATTATCTAATAATCTTAGAATATTTTAATTGATTTAATTGTACTTTGATTAATATTGTTAAAATTACGTTCCACATAGCATATAATGTAGTTGTACATGTACAAAGTATTATTCCTTTGGTAATTCTTTTCTGTTGGAAAATTTCAATTGTTAAAAATTGCTACACAGTAGATAAAACAAAAAATATTTAATATAATAAATGTTATCGATATATTACACATGGATAGAAACTATCTTGTTCGGAGAACTTTTAATTCCTCCTGAATGTATAATTTTTGACAAGAGCCAAATCAATTAAATTACAATTCATTTTTTATTTAAACATATTGTCAAAATAGAAAAATCAAAATCAAAATAAGTATAGATTAACAGTGCTTTAATACAGAAATATAATTAGAGGAATTTTTGAAAAATGGTATTATATATATATAACTGTTTAATAACATTTATGAATTCTGAATATATTATATAATATCTGTGCATATTGTTTTTTTTTTTTCTTTTTTTAAATATTACATGTTAATACATGCAGTTCATGTACAATTCATATATGCATGTGTACATAATTATAAAATTCTATTTTATAAAATAATAAAATATACATTAACTAGACCTTGGACGTTGTGCATCTAATTCTTGTTCTTCATCTATTCTTTGAGGTTCAGACGTATTATTTTCAATTTTCGATAAATCATTATTTTCTATTGCATATTTTAAACTTGCATGTATATGCGAATTTAATAAGGACTGAGTTGAATCGCTTAAAGTACATGCTTCCAATACGTATTTATTAAATATGTCACTCTTATCAGCATAAACATGATGTCCTGCTCCTGTTATAACTTGTACATTAACGTACGATGACAAACGAGATTGTTTGATAGCCTCACCAGCCGAATTATCTACCCAAGAACGGCTACCGTATAATAATGTTATCGGAATTTCTGGATTTAATTTATCCATTCGTTTCACAATAGGATTCTTTGCCCAACCAAAACCTTGCATCATGGCATGAAAAGCACTTTCACCACTACAGAGTTTAAAAAATCATAATTATTTAATAATTATTACAATAGTAAATATGGATTTAAAAAAAAAAAAAAAAAAAAAAAAAAAACTTACGATGGAGTTTGGGCATTGCATTGATGTATATATTGTGAAATTACTCCTGTATCATCTTTCAAAAATGAAGAGAATTTCTTAACTATGTCTGGCCTAGTTTTTTCAATAAGCCATTGTCCTGAAGTGCAATAAGTGATTAGGTTAAAATTTGTATATTTTATAAGTAAATGATACTAACCAAATGGACCTGCGACTCTTACTGCCCAAAGAGGATTTAAGGGCTGTACTACAAAAGCTATGGCTTTAACCCAAAGAGGAACATTTGCTTTTATTGCTACTTCCGAAGGTCTCTCTGGGAATCCCCAAGGATCCGCAAGAATCAAGTGTTTTACTCTTTCTGGATGTTGCATAGTATAGGATGCAGCAAGGAAACCACCCATTGAATGTCCTAACAATACAAATTTTTCTAATTGCATTTCTCTCCTCCATTCTTCAATAGAACGAACTAACTGTTCCTCTGCTTCTTTTGCTTCTGAACTAAAAACTGGCCTACTACTCCTACCAAAACCTGTGGAAATTATTATACTTGCTTTATTTATATTACAACATTATTTGATTATCATAAAATTAAGATAAAAATGAATGATATTCAAATTCTATGCGTTAATTTTAAATGATTTAGCATATGTAATATACATAATTATAATATCTATAATTATGGCATTACCTAAAAGATCTATAGCATATACTGGTCTTTGCGATGCAAGTGCATCAAAATTTAAGCACCAAAGAGCTACACCTGCACCCAAACCATGTAAGAGAACAATAGGGGTTTTGGCCGATTCTTCGTTCAAAGATATAGTCCATATTTTATCGGCTGTACCAACTACGGGACCAATATCTACATACCATCCTCGGTATGCTGTTTTTAAACCTATTAAACGTAAAATACTTCTTCGAATAAATTATTTTATTCAAATTATAAATTTTATCGTTCTTACAAGAAAGTATCTTTTTCTCTGCAGCACGTAACATGGTTGAGGATGATCCTGACCAGCTAAACCATCCCCAAAACCAACTAATAAAGAAAACAAAATTAAATTATATAATTTGTTGGCAGAAGAACTTTTTGGGCATATATATATGAAAGGAAGTGGCATATCTATGTATAAATTTAAATTTCAATATTTAACTTATAACCCAATAACAAATATTTAAAAAATTTTTAAGTTAAATGTATTACAAAGATCTAACCTAAAAACATTTCAATTATTATTAATGTCTTTCTTATTGAACATCGATTATATACACTTCAACAATAATAATAAAAATTCGACAGAACACGTGCGTGTAAAAAATTCTCACCTTTTTCATATTTTGAAAATATAATGTAAGAATTATTGATATAATTCTTACTTTATAATCTTATAATATACGTAAATTATTTGATATTAAGATTATCTTTGATCATCGATCATATTTTAATCGTATTTTATTAATAGAAAAGTCGATATTTTGCCATACTTATTCTGAAATTTTTGGTATCAAATACGCAGATTGAAAATTATAATTAAATGATGCGAGGTGTACTGATTGATGATGTAATATAAAATTTATTACGTGATTTTGTGCAAACGTGTGTCATATATATCAACATAGTATACAACTAAACGTGATAAGGTCGTATTCAAAGAAACATTCAGATTTTGACAGATCTTAGAAAACAAAACAGTATGTTTCGCTCACCTTTTAGACTTGACAACTTCATGATCAGCCATAAGGTTATTAGTTGTATAATAATCGTTTGTCTCTATTCCTATAGATGATACTTTATCAATAAAAGCGTGCATAAACCTAACGTGTGTATATTTGAGTCTATTATCTAGTAGCTGAACACACTATACAAATCGTACGTCGTCTGCTGAAAAACAAATAAGTGGGAGAATCAGCTGATCGCTCATTGGTAGGATCAGAAAGACATATATATCATTATACGAAAAAAATTCGCCTTTACTCTTTAGAAAATAAACTGAAAATATTTTTATCTTTGTAACAGTCATTTCCTTTATATAAAATAGATAATGCTTTTTCACGGAAGAGAACATAACCTTGATATTTTGTATTGATAGGAAAAACTTTGCTTAGGTTTTAAATTTTTTTTTTAAATAACGAAAGTCATACTTACATATGTATATATATATATATATATATATATATATATATATACATATACATATACATATACATATGAAAGTAATTATTTTTTGAAAAGAAATATAAATGTAATTTTAACACGTAATACATCTACGCGATAATTGCAACGCCATTGCGAATGGTTACCTTCACCATGACATACACATTCACATTTTCAATGTTATTACTAAGTAATACCGCCAATACACCAATTGTTATTTTTTTATATATTATTATTATTTTTTTTTTACAAAATAATTTGCATATGCACAAAAGCATTGAACGAACTCGATCGAAAAACTTACTCGATTTTACAAATGACCGTATACGAACAAAAGTTAATTTCGAGGAAATTCTTATCAATTGATTTTAAAATGATAATATTGTCCGATTGTAATTATTATATTTGTGTGGAAATGATATCCGCATGTACAAGTTAAATTATGACACAACTTTTGCTTTTAATCATTGATAAGAAAGTCTAAGCTCAAAGGTCATATCTTCGTACAATCGACTGTTGAAATAAAATAAGAGGAATTTGATATCATCGTATACGTTTTATCGGTATCATATTGAAAATCGTTTCTTGGTATTATTCAAAAAAATCTAGATTCGTAAGCGCGCCTTCAATATTTACCGTACATTATCGAACATGCCCGAAATCTACCGAGTACAACTTTGAAGAAATTTCATGATGTACATATATTTATAATAGATTTCATAATAATAATTATTGTAATTATTGTTATTATTATACATATATTTTTTGTATATCTATCGAGATCTCTATTTAGTTTTACCTATTTTATTAGTCCTTCAATGCATATTATATTATCTTGATGTTATTCCCAAATAGATATTCTTTTTGAAATAAAATTTTTTTTTATAAATTATGTTTTTTTATGTTACTTTTTTTATATTGTTGATATATAAATGTATATGTATATAAAAGAAAAGGAAGAGCTTACCCACACTCTGATCCCACTAATTTGAGCTCTAGCAGTATACTTTTTGCTCTTTCACGACGCGAGCTATTCGTTTCAATCACCACATCCTCATTGTAGACATGCACGATTCTCATTATTTCGCTCAATCGTTTTGCGGTTTCAAAAATGTTCATACATTTATCGGTATTACAAAGTCTAACAGGTATCGTACGTGATACGAAATATATATATGTATATAAATATATATTTATATATATATTGGTTATTTGGATACATATATATACATATATATATATGTATCCAAATTTTATCGTTTTGTTTAAAGAAAGTAATATTATAAATACACTTATATTACGTAATAAAATTCGAAAACAAAGAATTGCTAGCTTTGTTCAGTTATGGCGTTTATGTTTGTAATATACGATATAACCTATAAAAAGGAAAAATAACGTTTAGAATTATGACGCATTCCTAACATAAGAATAAATTTATCTACTGACATTATCTGTTCTTTGTTAGGATGTACAAAAGTTAGCTCGACTAAAAATTGAATATTTCTTTTTCTATAAATGCAATTCTGGTAACGAATATTTAATTCAGCAAAAATTATATATACATGTATATGTATATATATATATATATATATATATATATATACTTCATGAATTATAAAGTATTAATATTGAGTTTTCATACGCATGCTCAGTAAGGAGAATATTCTATCGACAAAACAACGATCGAAGTAAACTTGACATGGTATATGATTCTCGTCTAGCCAATTGATTTATCATCTGAATGAACATTTAAAAAATTTACATTGAAAATTGTGTCACGTATTTGACAAATAGTTGTAATCGAGGAGGTTTTCATTAAATGTTTAATATCAATGAATAAACATTTATAAGAAAAGCGACAATATTAATTAAAATCGTCTAGAGAACCATATACAGCAAAAGATTTTAATGTGAACATCGACTGAAAAATAACATGCATAGCATTGACAAAGGGTAATTATTATCAATCGACTGTGAACTACTTTTCCGTGGTTCTCACTTCAATTTTCTTTCGTTACGTTGTAGCATTTAAGGTTATCAAACGATATGACGATAGCGACGTAACTCGAAGAACCAATAAAGAAACAGAGAGAGGCGTTAGCCGTAACAGGAGGAACCAATTAGGAAGCAGGAAAAGGCGTCAGCCGCAATGTAACTGGTCAATAACGTGGCCCGATCGTTGTGGCGAAAGGATTCGATAGGACGAAGGAGATTCTTTGTTCGGATTGGTTGATGCGTTGCTAGGCAACACAAACGTCGTCGCGTCACCGGGCGGCTAAGCAGGACAGCCGGCCGGCCGGCCGGCGTACCCGGCGCCCGAACTCGCACGAAGCGTTTCTTTCGGAGTAGCACAAACCGCGCAGAACGTCGTTGGCTCTCGTTGAGTGCGAACGCGCGCTTGTTAATTGGTGCGTAATATAGGTCTTTTTTTTAATATACCTACAACGCCGTCAGGATAATAGTATTCTTTTCGCGTAGATATATATCTTACTCTTTATCATTCTTTCTCTCTTTCTCTTTTTCTCTATCTCTCTCTTTTTCTCTTTTTCTCTTTCTCTCATAAAGAAGAATATATATCGAGACACGCTTCTTTCGAAAAAGAAAAGAAAGATTTAACAAATAAGGAGGAACATCCGAGTCTTCTTTCTCAGTAGGGTAGTAAATTGGAAGAGAGAAAGTAACAAGGAGAAAAATGGCAGAGGACAAGAACGAGACAAGCCCGAACGCTGAGGGTGAAAACCCGCCACAGGAAGCAACACCGCCCGCAAAACAGGAAAAAGAGGAGCCTAAGGAAACGAAGGAGGAAGAGAAGAAGGCCGAGGAGAATGGCGAGGGTGAAAAGGCGAGAGAGAACGGCGAGGAAAAGCCGACGCCAGAGCCTAAGGATATGCGAGCCATCGTGCTCAACGGTTTCGGCGGACTCAAAAGTGTGAAAGCTCTGAGAAAGCCCGAACCCACCCTTAGCGAAGGAGAAGTTCTTATACGCGTCAAGGCATGGTAAGTTATTGTTCATTTTCTTTATATACTATCTTTTTTACTATATCTTTATGTACGTATTCCTCTGTATTGTATTATGAAAGATATCCACAGTCGTTCGTTCGTAGAAACCTTTGTTCATACATCAGTTCAAGAATTTTACGTTTTGAAAATTAATCGAACGGAATAATAGTGAATTTTGTTCAAGGACATTGACGTGATATCGTCGTTGCAGGATTTCAGATCACGTTCGGTAATTTATAAATAACGATCTCAATTGTGTTACACGACGAATTTCATCTGGATAATTTTTCATAGTTTTGTAAGAAAATAGACGAGGATCACATTACTTTTGAAATGCATTGAATCGTGCAACGAATCGCGATTTGAATTTTGGTAGGATCTCTAAGAATTGTCTAACGTATTTGATAGAAAAACGATGAAAGATAATCGAACGCGTTTGTAGCCACCGTCGTGTGACTATGTACGAGGTTTCTTTGACCTTGGCCATGGAGCCGGCTTCTATCTCTCGAAAGCTTATACGCTCTTGGGAGCGTGGCACACCCACTCTCTCTCTCTCTCTCTCTCTCTCTCTCTCTCTCTCTCTCTCTCTCTCTCTCTTTCTCTCTCTCTCTCTCTCTCTCTCTCTCTCTCTCTCTCTCTCTCTCTCTCTCTCTCTCTCTCTCTCTCTCTCTCTCTCTCTCTCTCTCTTTTCGTCGATGGTGTTGTACGCGCTGCCGCGACCGGGGAGATCGTCAACGCCGTATTCAAAGGCGTGCGAGAGAGGACCTTTTCACGCGTGAGTCACGTTTCATAAAGGCGATTGGCATTGATGAGAAAATAGCCCCTCTATAGAAAGACATAATGCCGTTGCTGCCGATGCTGGCTCGAATAAATTCGTGTGTATGGCGGTGCCCTTCCGGACACGCCACGCCATGCCACCGGCAGCCGCCTTTCGACGATTCCAAACGTATGATGGACGCTCCTCGAATAAAATAAACGTATAAATTCTCTCTACCATATCGGCGAACGTCCTTTTATCCTAGTCTTTTCTTCTTCCTTCAAACCCCCCCTCCCTTAAGATTTCCATTGAAATTTCGAGTCATATATACTTTTTTAATTTTTTTTTTTAATTGACTAGCTACTTTAATATTTAATGAATTTCACGGCTGTAATTTCAGTTAAAATTCAACGTTGAAGAGAAATCTTCGAAAAGAGGGATGATTTATTTTTATATCGTCGTATATGTATCGTCGACCGTCGAGGATGTTTTTTTCTTTTCCTTCTTTTTTCTGTCTTAAATAAACTTGGTTAGTCGTTTGAAAGGAAATGAAAGGAGCAGAAAAGAAGAGGAGAGAGAGGGAGAGAGAGAGAGAAAACGTTATGAAAGGCAGAGTGAAAATCCTAACGACAAGTACTCGCTCATATTAAACCGGAGGGAGCAGTACAACTCTTGGATACTGAATGGCATCCGTTCAGTTTCCTATAATGCGATATTAAAGCCTCATTAACTTGATAAGCCGAAGTAAGTCGAAGACATAATACTGCCTTTCATCTTTCTAATTCGTAAAGATTAAAATAAACAATCTGAGGTTTCAAATATATTTTCAGATATATGTTTTTCTTCTTCTTTTTTTAGAACATCTTCCTTACAATCATAACTCAATGATCATCGCAATTGTTTTAATAATTATAATTAATATGCTTGTAAGCACGTATGCGATAACAGAATATATTTAGATCGATCGATACCACCATATACGAGGGATAAGATCGAGTTTTTCCTATAAAAAGATAAACTTTCATTTGGTATTATCCCGTAAAAAAAAGGGCAGACAAATTTTCGGTCATCCTATGGGTGACAGAGGCTCTCCGTATCCTTCTAAATGTGTGTGGGGTCTGACTGTGTGTATTGTGCGCTCGTGTACCGATAGATCTATGGGATGTCCGTATTGATCGAACCACACCCGTGCTTCCTGCACCCCCTTCTCACGCACGCGGTATATACACGCACACGCGTGCGCAAGAGAAATCTTCCAACGAAACGCCATGACAGTTTCACGAAAGAGAACACGAATTTTACTACCCGCATATTAGATTTTCCTCTCCATCGTTCTTCATCCTAGCTATGAGACAAACTGTTCTACGGTTCTCTTTTTTCTTTTTTCTTCTTTTTCCCCATTATATTATCTTTTTTATCGGTGTTTACAAAGAAAAAAATATATATAAAAGAAGAGAGAAAATATACATATATAGATAAGAAAAGTACGAGATGAATAAATATTTCTTCGAAAATAGGCCCCCGACAAGATCGTTTTCTGATCGTTTTTATATCTTTTTTTTTAATTAAATCGAAAAGGCGTCATCGTATATACAGTCTTATTTCGTGATCCGATAGAGTACTTTGAAAGGATTCTTATACTTATATAAATAACATTGCGAGAGTAAATACGCGATCGAAGCGTATTTATTGCGACGAATGTTCATTACAGGGGTAAACGACGAGGTCAAGCAATTTTTCCGTTAAATCCCCTTCGTCTTCGATTTATCTCGAGTAATATCCAACGACGATGATATTACTCTCTCGCCACACCCAGTGCCGAGGGAACTAAAAGAGAGGGATGATCAATGTATTTCTAAATAATTATATATTGAAACGAATACTTTATATAATAAATAGAAGAGGAGAGGATTAATAATTTTTGTCAGAAAAAGAAAAAAAAGTTTTTCGAATACTGTAAATAGAATTGGATCTATGTATATGGGGTATTTCATTTTTATCGATCCATTGTAAATGGGATTGAAAAATAATATCGAAACAAATGTGAAACAAGATTATTGGCATTAATGATTCGAAATTATGAACGTGAGAGAACAATTAAATTTGAAAAAAATCTAGGAAATATTTCTTGTATTATCATAATTTCTGTTTCTATAGATCGAATAAAATGAGCCATTCTATATATGTATGTATGTATCTTATATTCTCCGATATTCCGTTTCTGCATGCATGAGTCAATTAATTGTTCTTCTATTCGAGGTTATCGTGCAGGTTACGGAACGCTTGCTCTCTTTCTCTCTCTCTCTCTTACACACACACACACACTCTTATTTTGCCTCTTCTTTATTGTACTCCTCTTTTTTATCTCTTTCTTTTTTTTTCCTTGCTAATAATAAATGATATTAGCCACTCTTACGCATCGTATATACTCGATACAGCCAAGTGACTCAGATCTTATCAATTACATTATCTTTTAGAAAATGATTAATCCAAAAAGAAGGAAGTATATTTTACGCATGCAATTTAATACGAGCGTGGTGTTGTTTAATGAAAAGGAAAAGAATACTTTAAAAACTTATCGAGAATCCTTCGAACTGATATACGGATACACGTAATTTTTTTGTCTTATACATAGATTATGACTAATCGATAATATTAATTATTACCAAATGAAATGACTAGTTATTTATTATTCATTTGATTCAATATTGAAATGATTTTATACACGAAATTCGTTCGATCTATAATGGACGAGGACATATGTATTATATATATGCATGTATTTGAAAAAGAATTCATTCGAAATGGTCTAGTAGATTGTTACTGACTCATCCTGTGTATATTTTCTCTCTTTCTCTCTTTCTCGTTGCTTCCACTCTCGGAAGTTGGAAACAAACTACATATATATATATATATATATATATACAATATATATATATATATATATATATATATATATATATATATATATACCTACACTCGCGACATATGAGTCAGAAAAAGAACATCGTGCGTGTTCAGCCGCGCAGCTGCTGTCTTACCGTTTCGATTCTTTGTTTTCCGCGTAACGGCGTCGCCTCGTCGCGCCATCCTGTGTATTATGTTGTGTTCGATATTTTGCGGCTCGTTATAGTTTTTTTTATTTATCTTTTTTTTTTAATTCTTCTTTATTTTTTTTTACAAAATCTCGCTCAACTATAATAGCAATTGTTTTATTGTATACGCCAGAATAGAATTATAATTATTCATTAATTAACCCCTTCTTACCTTTCGCCTTCTTTAATTTCACCGTCTCAGTTTTCTTTTCAATCTCTTCGACACACATGCACACGATAAATGCATAACGAGAGAATAAAATGCAGAGATCGCTTATAGAGCGATAAAAAGTAACAAAGAACTATTCCATATCAGTTTTTTTTCACCGTCTCTCTCTTTCTCGATGTCTCTCGTATCGTTTGAAAACAATTGATAACTCTCCGAGATGCTGTCGACGAGGTCATTTATCGTACGCTTGCGAATTATTATTACCGAGGCCAAGAACTTTTTATGTACGCATATTTATGTAAGTAGTTGACGCATGAAAAAAAGATTTGCGTCTTTGAGAAAGTTTCTTCTTTTGTTACCAAAGATTTTCCTTTTTTTCAATCGAATTTTTTAACCTTTCAACGTTTCTCACAGTCAAATACTGCAAAAATAAAATAATGATCTCTTTACTAAATATCTAGTATAAATAATTTTAATTGTAGTCTCTGGTAGGATAATTGCTGACAATAGAAAAGCCACTTATATATAAGTACTTTCGTAATGTCAGTGAAAATACATTGTATATGCATGTAAACAGTACGTACATGCATATATATGTACATACATACATAATATAAATGACAAAGTGATTAATCCTTATTGTCATCTTTTCTGCTCGGTTAATCCGTAATATCGAGCGATAATTCTTATCGCAAGGCTTTTTTACGTTCAACCTCTTTTGTATTTTCGCTTTTATTTTTATTATTTTTAATACATTTGCGCTATCGTCGATATTTATGTTAGACGACGAATCGCATAACATTCGTATTCTTTCGATCTTTTTGTTGTTCTTTTTTTCTTTCTGTAAATTCGTACATCAAAAAAGAGGAGAATGTTAAAATATTCTTATTTCAAAGTCAGTATATCCTGTTTATATACTCTGTGTGAATGTGTGTGTGTATTTATATATATATATATATTACGAAGAATAAATAAGAAAGTTGGAACAACAGACGGTTGGTTGGTATTTAAAAGTTTGACAACAAAGTTCCCCTAATGCGGTCGATTATATACTTAAGATATATGACATCTCGGAGATGAACGTAACTGTTCGTTAAATGTTATCAAGCGAACAAATGTTTTCAATTATGTCGTTTTCGTCTTTAAAAATATTCAATAATTCGGTTTTTCAATAATTTGAATAAAAGGTAATTGTAAACCTTAAAAACCGATACTTTTTTAATCATTTCGATATCGGTACAAAAGCACCACGAGTTTATGATCCCTGTATACTAAGAAATAATAATAACAGAATGTCAATCTTTCTGAGAATTGTTGTAGATAACGATAAAGAGATAAAAGAGGATTGATCTTGTCCGGTAAAAAATGAAAATGATCCAATGAACTATTCGTTCTTCAACGAATAATAATCTATTTACTCCTCGTAAAAACTTTTCGGAGGGACGGAATATGGCTTGGTCGATTAAATAATTGTTTTTTTTTTTCCGCTGATAATCCCGACGGAATCGTACGTAATAATAGTGGCCACGCGTATACACGGACATTTTTGCTGGGGGCCTAATTGTTGGGGTCTCTCTCTCTCTGTCTCTCTCTCACTTTCTCATCGAGTCACGCGAGATTCGCGCTTTTGATTTCGCTTTATGACTTTGCTGGCGCCCGAGTGTCTTCTTCGTTGATCGATCGATATAAATAAGATGGTTTCGTATTTCTATACATGTGGACGAAAAATGTTATATCTGTCAACGTTAATATCTAACATGGAGTAAAAAAACCGAAGATATTTTCATTTTAATCAAAAGAAAAAGAAAGAAAGGAAAAAAATTTTCTAAAAAATTTTCTAAAGGAAAAAAATTCGTATTATAAAAGCTAAAGTTCAAGGAAATTATTTAACCCGTTTATGACGTTTCATTCGAGGGTTGGTAGAGAATATATATCGAAAGGAACGAAGATATGTTTAATTATGACCCTCCAATGCGGTGCATGCGTCATCATCAATGTCGTCGTTGTCGCGTCGTTGTCGCGTCGTCGTCATCGTCGTCGTCATCGTCGTCATCGTCATATCTTTATAATACGATCGTTTTTCCATCAAGAACGAAGAAAATCCTTTCCGAAACTTCAAATAGTTTCTACAATATTTCTTTTTTTAAAACATTTTGCAATAATATATTTACATATCGGCCGTCAAACGATCCACGAGAAATTCGTGTCATGAAAGCAGCTTTGAAATTTAGCGCGATTATCTGTTCGCGAACGATAATGGCAATTGGGTCGAAGCGTTGGATGGAATTTCATTATGTTAAATCGTCTTCGTATTATCTTATTAGGCTGAGGAATGCTTCCGTTCTTTTGTAACCATCTACTGACTCTTTTAAGTATGAATTACGAAAGGATCATCCATTGTTTTTCTAAAGAGGACATCCATGGCGAATAAATCATTTTAAAGACCTCCTTGATAAACTAACAATAAGAGATGAAATTTAGAAAAAAAAAGTTAAAAAAGAATTTCATGAACTTTCATAAACGTAAATATTTTATTTGTTGTCCACCAAATTGTGTGTTTGTAATCACAACTTCCTTTGCGCCACAAGAATCATGTAGGCAAAGTAACAAGGACGTTTGGACTTACTCCGCTTTCTTGTTTCCCCATCAAAGAACAATATCCTATTAAAATGACAAGAGTTGTAAGAGATTCTTTTTATCGTAAGCAAGTAAAACCTTTATCCATATATATATGTAGGTAGTATGAAAAAAAAAAAAAAAAAAAAAAAAAAAAAAAAAAAAAAAAAAAAAAAAAAAAAAAAAATCATAATTTAATTCCGAGTAGATAGAGAGGTTGAAGCGGTCAGAAGTGTCGCATTATTTATTTAGTTTCCTGGCAATGCGTATCTTTCCGTTAAGCATATACTCGTTCAATAGTCGCGTCGACATAGGGAGCGAGCGTCCAAGTTGCGTGAGACGCCAGGCGTCGGTCTAGGCATCCTGGCGCCTTCGGTGTATACCCTTCGTTCTTTGTCGAAACTACATAGCGTGGTGTGTTTCACGTGGCGAAACGATCATGGTACCCCTACTACTATTACAACTACTACTACTATTACCGCTACGAACGGTACCACGTTTATGAGACAGTACCAGCCTTAAGCGCTTTCTATTTCAAGTATCTTATCCGCTCTTCTTTATATTCTCTCTCTCTCTCTTTTCTCTCTCTCTTTCTCTCTCTCTCTCTCTCTCTCTCTCTCTCTCTCTCTCTCTCTCTCTCTCTATCTATCTATCTATCTATCTATCTATCTATCTATCTCTATCCCTATCTCTATCTCTATCTCTATCTCTATTTCTTTCTTCCTTTCCCCACCCTCTACAAATCTTTCTTTTTTTTTCTTTACATGTTTACTAATAAACTACAACAAATAAATATTTAATATAAATTTACGAAATATTGAAAATCACAAACGTATCATTGAGACATCAATGAAAAGGGACAATAATATATCTTTATTCTAATCTCAATAAGTAATTATACTTGGTTACAGCGGTCTAAACTTTCAAGATTTAATGGCACGACAAGGTGCGATCGATTCACCCCCAAAAACACCCTTCATTATGGGATCAGAGTGTGCTGGAGATATCGAACAAGTTGGCGAGGGAGTTGAGAATTTTAAAGTAAGCATTTCCAAGTATTTAATAATACAAGCGCATGCACACGCGCGCGCACGTGATTATCGTGCTATTATATTCAGAACTGTTTTCATTTCTTTCTCTCTTTCAGGTTGGTGACAGAGTCGTTGCATTACCTGATCATAAAGCGTGGGCCGAATTAGTAGCTGTTCCAGCGACATCCGTTTTTGCATTGCCAACTGGCATGAGTTACTTGGATGCGGCTGCTACTACTATGAATTACACCGTAGCGTACATCTTACTCTTCGAATTGGCTAATCTAACGCCTGGAAAGTCGCTTTTGCTACACAGTGCCGGTGGTGGCGTTGTAAGTATTTCTCATTATCGTAATCAACTGTGTTTAAATATGCTCTCGGTCAAATTTCGGAGAAAACCAATTAGTCCGGTACAATGACAATAAGTTTTTGACTGATGAACTAGTAGGAAAAAGTACAATTATATTGAATTTTTCTTTTGAATTTGGATTACAAATCATTAGAAACTGAAAGAGAAAAATCAATATTTAAAAGGAAATAAAAACAGAAAATATATATAACTAAATCTAATTCTTGCAATCGCGATAGTTCCTCTCTTACCCTTTGTCTATTTAGCTCTCTTTCTCTCTCTCTCTCTCTCTTCTCTCTCTCTCTCTCTCTCTCTCTCTCTCTCTCTCTCTTTCTCTCTCTCTCTCTCTAGCTTTCTCTCTAGCTCTTCTAGCCCTAGACATTAGGGAAGGAGAGGATAGAAACGTCGGGATCAATACGACTCAACAGGTTATACCCGAGGCCAACTATGGAGGCAACGTAGTAGTAGTAGTCGCATACTGCTAGAAGTCGAGAAGATGAAATCTATGGGGGATGCTGGCCGAGATCGTACGGGGTGTGAGGGTTGCCAGGCAACCCTTCGCTCTCTCATCGACCACTGTCGTGGGCCGCGCCCGTCTGAGACCGCACCACCACTATCGCACCACGTGTTACTTTTAAGTCTCCTTCACAACGCTTTTAACGTCCACGTGTACATATCTTCTTCATTTCAGCTACATAAAACATTGAAAATCATTTATTAGTTATTTAATAGATTCCGTTTTTAAGAATTGTCGAATTAATCGAATACAAAATTATATATTGTTCATAAAAATATTTATATCTTTTTCTTTCTTCTTTTTTGTCACGGTATAATCTGCATTTACAGCAACAAAATCAATAATTTTATCATTGCTAATGAATCTTTTTATAATCCGAGACTTTTTCAAAATATTGCTAAGTGCATTATCCCTTTCTTTTAATGAGCGTTTCTATGGGGTTGACCAGTGATGCGCAATTGAGAGCAGGCTACTTAAAATTCTGGGTTGCGGGTTCTTCCTTTCCTTTCCTTTCCTTTCCTTCCCTTCCCCCCCCTCTCTCTCTTCGTTTTTTTTCTGTCTCATTCTTCCTCAAGTCCCTTGGCCTCGGTTTAGCTCCTCGCATCGGTTGTCGGCGGGTATCGAATTCTCGAGAAGGGCGGGAGCAACAGAAAGCGAAGAGCTCCTCGATTCTTGGAAATAATGAATGCTTGTTCTGTTGAGAAAACCTGAAACAGCTTCACTAAATATTTTATTGTTCGTTGTTTTTTCACCGATTTATATCGAGTTCCATGAGCTGAGTACAGAACTTTTTTATCTATTAAAAAGTTTCCTATCTAATGGATTACGATGATTAAATTTTAGGGTCAAGCTGTGATCCAACTTGCTAAGACTGTGAAAGATGTAACCATTTTTGGTGTCTGCAGCAAGTCAAAGCACGAGGCTCTTAAATCATCCGGCACTATAGATTATTTGCTAGAAAGAGGCACAGATTATAGTAACGAAGTCAGAAAGTAAGAAGATCTATACAAGATGAATTATCATAAAACTATTAGAAATTAAAAAATGTATTACTTGTTTTCTTCAGAATTTCATCCGAAGGCGTAGATATAGTCTTGGATTGTTTATGCGGCGAGGAATGTAACAAGGGATATGCCCTCTTGAAACCTATGGGAAAATATATTCTTTATGGTTCTAGTAACGTCGTAACCGGCGAAACAAAAAGCTTTTTCTCGGCGGCACGATCGGTTTGTAATATTTTCTTTTGAAACAGATTTAGAATTTAGAGGTAGTAAACAGATAGAATTTTCAATTAATATATTGTATTATTTTTATAGTGGTGGCAGGTAGACAAAGTTTCTCCCATAAAGTTATTCGACGAGAACAAAACGTTGTCCGGCTTGAATCTTCGTCATTTAATGTATCAACACGGTGGCCATGCATATGTCCGTCGGGCTGTTAATCAAGTATTCTCATTGTGGAGTGAGGGTAAAATAAAGCCCGTGATGGATTCAACATGGGCTCTTGAGGACGTGCCCGAAGCAATGCAGAAGATGCACGATCGAAAGAATATAGGAAAAATCGTACTCGATCCGAGCTTGGAGCCCAAACCAAAACCAGCTACGCCAGCGAAAGGAAAAGCAAAAGACAAGAAGACTACCAATCAAGAAGAAAAGAAAGCATCGAGCGTGGAATCCGAGGAAGGCGAAAAGAAGAAAGAACCTGAATTGACAAACGGAACATCTGAGGATAAGTCTGATAGTGGTGAGTAATCGTAAATTATTTTTAAAAACAAATCGGGAACAATTAAATGAACGCAAACGTATCCTTACTTTTTCAGACTCGAAGGAAAAAGAATCAAGCTGAATTGTCGGCGCTAGCTAATCATAATAATAAAAAAGAAAAAAAAAAAAAAGAAAAAAAAAGAAAAAAAAAAAAAAGAAAAAAATTGTCATTTATGAGAAGCAAGAACTTTCACCGATGTATCAAGAAACCCATATTGTTACTGTCTGACGAAAAAAAAAAAAGAAAAAAAAAAGAAAAAAAAATAATTTAATTCGACTTCTATATTACTTGCATGCAGTTTGATGAAACGATATAACGTAATCGGAGGTTATGATTCTCGAGCCCAAGACTTAAAAACAAAAAGAGTAAGTTTTCTCAATTAAAGAAAAGGATTGATAGTAGATGTAAGTTGTTAACGAATCGTCGGACATTATCAATTTTCATTATAATAGTTTAGGTAAGTCATTTTTTATAAGTTATGTTCGAACTGACAGATATGAAATTATTTACATTATTTCTTTTTTATATATATATTTTTTTTATATTTTTTTTTATTTTTATTTTTATTTTTTATTTTTTTTTTTTTTTTTTATTTCTTAAAGAAAAAGGACTCTGCTTAATATATCTGCTCTATTAAACATTGAAAGTTCACAAGGCTAATAACTGATACAGAAACATCAACCAACAATCACCTAATTATATCGGAAAAAAGTATAAAATGGGAACAACAAAAATAGAAATATCATTTTGACGCGGTCCACTAGTAGTTTACAATTGCTAGATATATTATCTTTATCCTTTAACACTGGCCGAACAGTTTAGTTCGTACAGCACAACGTAGCCATTAGTTATTCGTGAAGAGAAGAGGTCATTTGATAACCTGAATCATCTCTGTGATTATTTTAGTATGTTCGTGTAATGTATTTTATGCGTACTTACCAAAATACTCCAGGTCTCTCATAGTTATAAAAATGGAATTCATTAGGAACATAAATATTCTAATCTTATGTCTATTATCGACTGTCCAGAAATGAAATAATATAGTAGTCAGTCTTCGTATTTTATATCGTTTTTATATTCTGATACAATTTCTACGTGATTTTTTATGTATAATTTTAATTTAATGGGATATGTTTATTTATTCTGATTTGTTGAGAGACCCATATGAAGTTACATTGAAGGAAAAATAATAACACTGAGTTAGTTACATTATATATTCATGCCAATTTTTTCGCTCTAATATTATTATATTGACCATGGTATTGTAAACAAGGAAACAAACAAAAAGAAAAAGTTATTTATCTTTTATTATGTCTTATTATCTATTTTATTATTTATTGATAAACGAAAATGCACGATTGTCTGAATATTTGTAAACAAAAGATTATTAAATTTTGATAATGTCTCGAAATTTTTAAAATATATCCGCTGGTGCAACCGAATATCAAATTGAGTGCTACTGGAGAGTTGAAAAAAGGAAAAGAAAAAACACGAGAAGTCACATAAATCATTTTTCAAATAAATTGTGGTAACTTTTGCAACGATTTTTCAACGACCTATTTTTGATAATAATTTTTAAATGCCTGCGTTTTTTGAACGAAATACAGATCAATAAATCCGAGCTCAGACGCTCATAAAGTATTGAAACGGAAGTCTTAGAGTTGCCTTTCATCAATTTCATTCGTATCAGTCAGGATATGTAGTTTTTGTACCAATACAAGTATTGTATCATCAATACTAATTTAGATTTACTATTCAGAATGTTACTTGCTAGCTAGAAATTTCTCGATCTATTTAATAAGATGAAAAAAAAGTGAAAAGAAAAATACTGCTTTATAATATGCAATAATAATAATAATAATAATAATAATAATAATAATAATAATAATAATAATAATAATAATAATACACGATAATACGAAAAAAAAATTGATTGAAAATACTTCATTATTTTATGCAAATCTTTCAATTTCAAATAAATTTCTCATTACTTGACGAATAATTAGGAAACTTGTAGATTTTCGAAATAGATATTTAGTGACAAATTTGTTGCCGTTAAGCGCGCAAGGGACGACGTATTCGTCAAAATGAGAGGAAGAGAGAGCGAGAGAGAGAGAGAGAGAGAGAGACATTTCTTCGAACGAGAAAAAGAAAAAAAAATCTGTGTACAGCGAGAATGTTCATGAAATTGTATGATTTGTCGATCCTTTAAAGCTTTTCCGAAAAGCTTTAAATTATAGCCAGCTTGCTTTTATTTAACGAAACGTACGGCCTTTAATGTTTACGTAAGGATACTTGCTATTGTAAGATCTATTACGAATGAAAAAATCCTCGTAATGATATTAAAAAATAGAAAAGAAAAGAAAAAGAAAAAATTAAAAAAAAAAAAAGAAAAAAGTTAAAAAAAATAAACCAAGAAAGGAAAAGATTTAGGTTCGTCGAAGAGTTTCTCGAACGAAGTGTTACTCAAATTGAAAAAAAGGAACACGTTTGATGGGGAAAACAAAAAAAAAACAAAACAAAAAAATGCATATCTTTCCGAAGCGTTTCGAACCATTTCATTCAATTGGTTCCGCTCTAGGATTTGATACTAATCACTGTATACCAAGATAATCTGTATTATACTAATCGCTATCGGAAAATTACGAGTTTATATACCGAGGATATTGTTCCCACTTTCATCGCTAGAAATAGGGAAACGTAATAGTGACTAAAGAAAAAAAAAAAAAAATTTTTTCTAGTATCAATACTGCCGTATCAAAAAATCTCTTGGTCCAAAATTACATCGTATATTATATATTATCAATTACCATTACTCGTGAGAAAAAGTGTGTATCGAGATTAGGGATGAAAAAGAGGAGAAGAAAACAAAAGAGCTAAGAAACTTTAAATATGGGTGCATATTTTGAGAAGTCTTTAAAAAAAAGAAAAAAAAAAAAAAAAAAAAAGAAAAAGAAAAAAAAAATAAGAGAAGAATACATCCGTTTCGACGTGACGCAACGATGTTACGCGATATATTCATACGAAAAAGAAAATACCAACAACAACATGATGTAATATTATCGCATAAACAAAACGTATGAAAAATACACACATCACATTGTATATTTTACGTAAGGCTTTAAATGTTTAATCAAATAACTATTATATTATAATATATCTATATATTTGTATCGATGGTTTTTCCCGCCCTATTTGATTTTAGAGTTTAGGTCTCTATGTCACGAGAGAACGTCAAATTGCGAGTGTTTAGTGGCACACTGAGGAACCCCCCCGAATAAAAAGAAAAACTTTTTTCGATGAATAACAATGAATTGTAATATTGTAATTACAATGTTTGTTGTGAGCGATTTGGTGATGAAAGGTAATTAGGAGAAAACTTAATGAACTTCGCGCGTTATGAGTCCTCAGACTGGGCTAAGCAAAGCAGTAGTAACGTTTTGGAAGCTTTAGAAGCTTCTCGCTAGATGTCGTTCATAATTCTCATTGAATATACGCGCGAATTATGAACAAGATCTATCCTCTTCGACTTGCGCTCGATTATTTCATCGACCGAAGGACGATCAAAATTTCCTTTCTCATCTTTCTTGCTTTTTTCCCTTTCTTTTTTTTTTTTAAACTTCTTCGGAATTATAATCGAGCGCAAGTTAATTAGAATCAACAATAGGAAGTAGTTGGATAATTGATTAAAAATGCAGATACGCATTTGAAAACAGATAACCGAACTGATTATTGGTAATCTGCTTTCATTTTCATCGTAGAATCACTTGTAAAGACTTTCTTAGACATTCTTCAAAAATTTCATCATTTCATTTATCTAGATATTATTTTTAATATGACTGATATATCAGAACGTATATATGTTGTCGAGCATAGTCCTTCTAGGAAAATCCTTATCAAGGACAGAAATTTACTATGCTTCAGTAATGATTTGTCCTTTAAACCATTCAATATAAACAATAAGGGGTTCATCAGCGATAGGTCTTGTATTATTTAAGAAAATTTCGTTGAATAGGGCGCCGATGCGTATATTTTATCACAAGAGAAAAAGAGAGGGAGAGAAAGAGAAAGAGATAGCAACATCGAAGAGAGAGTTATAGGACCTACAATTTCGCAAACGTGATACATTATAATTATGTGTAAAATTGTAAAATTCGTCGCGATAGTACGGGCAGAATTAACGTGCATTCTTTTTCCCTGAATGATTATTATCCTTCTTTATCCGCCATAATGATTTCTCCAAACGATAGAAACGCACTCAGCAAGGGAAACGCGTTTATCGCCCGTTCGTCGCAAGCTTGATATATAGATTGTATTTTTGGCTTATTATTGTAAGACTGACTATGTTGCTATATTAAAGATTGCTTCAAAAATATTTACGGCTTTTTCCCTCCATCAAATTCACCTCGTCGCTATTCTTCCTATCAAAAGACAAAATCAACAATGTTGGAAAGACATATGGAAGATGAATTCTTTAATATATGTGAAGACAGATTTCGAATTCGATTTTAATTTATTTTTATAAATGTTATAAAACATAAAAATATTTTTAATGTGTATTAAATGCTACTTCTTTTTATTAAGTTCTATCGCCTCGACAATGGAAATTATACATATAGTTCAGGACAGTTCCTTTTTTCCATTAAGATTTAAACTATCTTTGTACCTCTGATTACCATTATATATGCATATATATATATATATATATATACACACACATATATACACGCATATATATATGTAATATAAAAAGAACTGATGTCCTGTTGAACACATATATATAGCACAAATTATTTAAAATATAAGCTATTTTATAACAGACTTGCATGGACGGCATTTGAAAGATTATGCAGATCGAGAATCTGCTTTAAAGACTTGCAATGTGTCTACATTTCATACGACATTAAGACCTGCAACTTATATTTGTGATGTGCATCAATAAATATCTCTATCCCTGTATGCATACATCTTAATGGATAATAAGCCTTAATATTGTATATCAGTAGACCATCGCAATTTAATATAAGAGAAATATGCCATATATGATAATTATTATAATATAATATAATACTTAAAATATAAATCTAATTATTAAAATATATCTCTTATGCTTATCTAAAACAATGAAATATGTTAATACGTATGTCTTGTTCTTTTGCCCAAATATTTTCTTGGATATGAACGAACATACATATAACAGGACGGTATCGTTTTCTTTTATCTCTTTGTGCTTTGGAGCATCTTTTTATGCTCCAATATACTATATACAGATCTTTGAGAAATATTATTTTTACACAAACTAAAACTATGTGCAAAAAGGTGTTTAAATTACATATGTTAAATCAATGGGAATACTTCTACATAAAACATGAGTTAATAATAAAGTAATAAAAAATTGTAAATGATAACATGATAACATGATAACAAATGATAATTTGTCATGTTATCATTTGTAATTCTGTAATTGCAAGAAAAAATAAATAATACTTGCGTTTATATTATTTGTATCATCGAAATATTTTGTAAATTTTTCTATCGTGGTATGGTTAATTGAAAATTATAGAAGAAAACTACCCTACGTTGAATTCTTGTGTTCGATAGTATCTCATTATAGTTATTAAAATAGATGTAATAAAGATAAGATTTGTTGAAGACATCAAAATAGTAGCAGTATTGTAAATAGGACAATACGGACATTGCGAACTACCACACACCTCACAAATGTTCAGAGTGTAAGTTGGTAAAGCATCAAATATAGATTCATTGAACCGTTCTGGAGCATAATAATCATAGACTCTGATGGGAAGATATCGTGACATATTTGCAACTGGATACCATCTTTCTATTGTAAAATTAATACAAGTTTCTTCCTGATCTAAATAATCAAAATAGAATAAAACTTTTCTGCCTTGAAACCGTGCTCTTTGTAAGTTCCTTACTTTTCTTGATAATACATATTTATCAAGATTTTGTTGTTGAATTATGTAACCAGTTGGAATAGCTACATCCAAAACTGCCATTCCAGAGCGGGATGATTCATTAATGTTTGTCCACCTATATGGAAATTATATATTTATCAAGAATGATTCAATAATATAAAATATATAACTTTTTCTTTAATTATAATAGGTAGAAAATCCATTTCTAAATTACCTCTGACAACTGAGATATGAAATATGAGATTGATTTCTACCATGGAAATTAGCTCTGGTTATTAAATCAAATGCCTGCACAGGTGGCTGAGTCTGAAATCTTTTAATGTCAACATTATATTGCACTGACATTTGCAAAATTGCATATCCAGCACCCTTTGCTTGCACTTTTACGGTTCCCCATGCTTCAGGTATCTACAAGAAAAAATACATTAAATATAAAAATTAATTATTATGCGATGTATGTTACTTTCCAAAATACACATGCCTCGATAGATTGAAGTCTTGCAAGATTGCTTGGATTTACAGATAATATTTGTGTCTTCCCAGGTAAAGCTGTAGCTTCTATTGTTACATTTAATGAACTAACATCCCTAATTCTAGATCGGACGGTATAATCCATTAAAGCTTTCATAGCCCACGCAGTATCTTGCGTGGAAGCCCATCCACCATCTGTCAATCTTTGTGCATTTAGCCATTTTACTATTGGTTCTATCATTACCTCTTGTCTTGCGACATAGACAAGAAGTGCATATGCTGTTGTTTCTATATTTTCTGCATCATACTTATAAGGTAAACGTGGGAGGAGGAATGGTTTTTGATTTTCCAATTTTTGTGGCGGAGGTGGAACAGGTTCTCTGCCCCAATACGTTAAACCACCTTCTCTACGTGCGTGCCTAGTCAAAATATTAAATGCTTGTTCTGCTGTAGAAGCTTTCGCCATTAATAATGCATATGATACAATAGCAACGTCATATGGTTTGCCTTTTTCTTCTAAAAGTTTCATATTTCTCTCTAACCATTTAATGGCATTTGCAGAAGCTAAAGCTACTTGAGAACCCAAACCTCCTGTCAAATCTCTTACAGTTTCCAATGTAATAAGCACATGAGCAGTAAGACTAATATTTCTGAACCTTATTATATCACTATTATAATTGAGAGAGCTATTCATTTTTCGATCTGGTAACCATGTCACTTCGTAAAAAGATCCTTCTGGAGTTTGATGCTTTAATACCCAAGAAACAGCTTGTGTGATTACATCGGGATCTATATATAGATAGTTTTCCCATTCATAAAAACTTGCTTCTTGAAAGATGCGCGCACAATAAGCAGTGAGCCATACACTAGATGCAGATTGGTTCCAATCACTGCGAAAAAGACTAAAAGATCCATCAGGATTCATAAACGAAAGTTGGCGTTGATATCCAATGTTCATATAATAAAAGCTTTCCTTCTCTTGCGTTCTATTCCGTTGATTGACTAGACGCATATACAATGTTGTATACATATTAGCGGCAAAACTGAACATATTCTGTTCAGCACAATCCATTGGAAGATCTATAAGACTTGTAGCATTGACAGGCATTGTTGGAAATATAGGTCCAACCACATCCCCAACTACACTTATAGTTGCCTTGTTTGATCCAAACACATAATAACGATTTTCATCATAAGATATAATTGGTGTTTCTGTAATGTTAACGTGCATGTATTGGAATACATATGCTCTGTTACTTAAATCAAGGAGAATAGATTGATGCCTATGTTGAGGTAGGCCATCAGCTTCTACATGTAAGGTGCGTGTAACCGAATCACGTCCTATTAATGTCGTTGCATAAATATGTATTTTAATGTCACCGAGTCTTACTGGAACAATTGGTAGATATACAACAGTTGCATCTTGAGCATGTATCCATAAAAAGAATTGATGTTCTCCAAAAGAAGTGCGTGGTTTATATGACTGAACAATGCCATTATCTTCAACATGAACAAATTTGTAATCTTTAGATCCTGTTAAAACAACTGTTGCTTCGATATCGCCACGCATATAATTAAAAACGGACACTCTTATGCCAATCTGTTCGCCTTGTTTACTGTGCGTTGGCATTTCTACATTAATATAAAATGGCAGAATTCCTGTATATTCCAATGCTTTAGGTAACATTCCAAAACCTTTGCTCGGAGACATACCAAAAACTGTGACCATCCAATGAACTGGTCTACGTGGCACATCTATGTTGAAAATTTGTCTACCATGTGGTCCTATGTTTATATCTTTCCAAAGCCAAACATTTTCATATTGTCTTTGAATCCTATTAAAACGCCACTTTCTAAACTCTAAAATATCAGTTGCATTGCCATGTAGACAACCTACTTCATCTGTACCATCTTCACAATCAAACATGCCATCACACTTTTTTTCTAATTTATAACAACGCCCCGAGAGGCACTCTCCATATCCTTGGGTTCTATTACAATGATCTGGACGTCTATAGATCAGTGCATCTGTAAAAACAACTAATCCAATATATTCGAAAGTGCGATTTACATCTATTCCAAATGTAGAGGATGGAAAATAAACCATTTCATCAGGATCTCCACCATGAAGCAACCAAGTATGAGAGTAAGTTCCATTAGTATCTTCGTCAAAGTGTGCCATCTTTGATATAACATTTGCATAAGTTAATTCATTACCAGCTTGCATAGTGTAAAAGGATCGATCGATACCCGAAAGCGCAACATATGCTCCTGGCTCTCCATAAATGGCAACTTCCACATTTTCACCTGTACGTGCTTTTTTGTTATTAATAAATACTGTAAAATTATTACGAGAGATGCCATTTACAGGGAAAGTTAAAGAATCTGCAACAACATCCCCATAATGGCCAACGTAATATACAACTGCAGTAGCAACAGGGGCCATTTCAGGACTTAGTGGAATTGCAAAAGTTTTTATATTATGCTGCATGTATTCTTGTCCACTTAGAAGTATTGTTCCTTTAGCCATGATAATATAATTAAAATAATCTATATGAAAGTTTGTCTGTACATGAAATATTATGTATTCTCCAACTTTAGCTTTTTCAGTTGATGTTATTATTTTTATATGTTTCTGATTTGGAGATTCATGTGCGAATAATAGTAATTCCGATTGAGCTCTAAATCCTTCGCCATCGGTAAAATAAGCAGATATTTTCATAGAAGTGATATCATTGAGCATTTGTTGAGTTTGTTCCGCATTTTGTGGATATCCAATTTGTTCTCTGAGATCTATTTTTGTAGACCAAATACCCTCATACTCTGAAGAAGGTTTCAAATATTGTGGATCCATAGATCTTCGTCCACCAGACTTTATTTCAACTTCTCCACGTACTTCCATTGTTGCTCCTTTAAGTTGAGTAAGTCGTAATGCTGAATTGTCATGAAAAGATGCAACTAAATGGACGGTAAAAGGCATAGCTGGCTTGAATACCTGTGGAGTGCCACCTAGAAAATATACTTTTATGGTTGAATTAAATATCCTAGCCATAGAATAACCAACAACAATTTCATCTAAAAATCTTTCTCCAACTGTCGCAACAATGGTCACTTCCATTCCATCCAAAGATGGAGCAAAATTAAGTAATTCTGCCATTGGATATTGAAAATGATATGTTCCATTAAAAAATCTCATTACAGGCACTTTCTCCTCGTAAATGTTTGGTTGTTTAAACCATGCGGGATAATATTCATTAAAATTAAAATATCTTTCAATAGGCTCTATTTGCGTTGATGAACTTCCAGTTCTATCTATAGGTTTGAAAGAGGCCTTTAGCGTTAAATTTCCTTTTACAGGTGCTCCAGATGTATAATTTGCTTGAACAATGCCATGAATGTATGGATCATTTTCAAAAAAAAATGCTGGCATCGTGACATTAACTTCGAAGCGTGTTTGATAATATTCTTCTACCAAAAATGTTTTCTCTTCTACTTGTCCTTGAGCTATAACTTGTATGATCCATTCTCCGAAAACTGGTTGATCTGACAATTGATACGATAAAGAGACAGTTCCTAAATTACTTTGTCTGCTCAACCAACGTCTCATAATACGTCTATGTGGATCTAGCATATAGACATCAATAGGACTGTTAAAAGCTTTTAATTCGGTGTCAATAGGTACGGCTCTAAACCGTATTGTTTCTCCTTGCATATATACTGGCTTATCTAGCTGGATGAAAATTGTCATAGATCTTTGTGAAAAAATAAGTTTAGTTTCATTTAAAAAGGCTTGACCTCCAGTCAAACTATTATATAATCCTTCGATGCGTAAGTTATAATCTCCTTGTACAGAAGTAAGTGGCATACGCATTAATAATGTTTCTGGTATACCCTCTTTAACTTCTTGATGATCAGCTGCAATTTCTACTCCATTACGTTGTATAGAAGAACGTATAACCATTGGTAGTGAACTATGTAAAACACTTACAGCTATTCGATAAATCTGGCCTGGACGTACCATACGCGATGCCACGACAAAATATGTGCTAAAAATAAACGATATAAATATCTTGATGATACTATAATATTTTATAACAATTGTACAATACTTACGCATCTTTTATTATTATATTTTCATTTTTGTTTCCACTAAGCCATGGAGACCGAGTTGTTTCTAAAGTTTCTTGACAATTACCACCGAGCACAGTTAATAATAGAATAAAAAGCCACATATTTCTAAAATAAACAAATAATGTATATAAATTTATAAATTCCTTTGGTATAGTTTATTATTCTATAAAAATAATTTACGTTCATAATCATATAACCTTTGAAAAGTAATTCATGAAATAATTTTTATATTTTATTTTATATCCCGTGTGCAACAAATCACAGAAATAATACACTAGGTAGATAATAGCATTAACAAAGTTATTGTAATAAAGTAACAGCGAAACTTAACCGTTCATTAGATAAAACAAAAGTAAGATAGTTTATGGTCAACGCCCAAAGTTCTTACTAATCCAATTAATACTTCATAAACAGATGTCGTTATAATGTCTCTAGTGTGGCGGACACACCATTGTCGATAAAGCAGGAAACTTGATGCCGAGAAAAAGATTATAAGTTTAAAATTTCGCGCCAACTACAATAGGACCAACAAAACGATGTCGTGATAAAGTACGAATTAGGACTATTTTCTGTAGCTCTTTTTTGTTTTGATTAATTAATAAATTTTCCTCTATATCTGATCTAAAAAAAAAAAAAAATGAAAGGCATTAATGCAATTTAATTGCCGCAGCCGTGCTAGCGATCAAATTTATTCACGCAATAAGCGACAGTTACAGTTCTCATAGAAACCTTTACGATACGGTCCTGAGCATTTATATACATCAACCGAAATATGAAATTTTATCGTTAGAAAGTTTGTTGTCGAAGAAGGTAACGTTTGTGTTACACTATATATAAATATTAACAAGACAGAAGATAGTTATAAATTTACACATTATAATTAAGAATTGTACAATCAAGTACAAGAGTAAGTAAAATAATCAACATAAACACGAAATATAAAATAATTTATTATAAGTTTTATGTTCATAAGAAGGCATAAAAAGCAATTTAAATCATTATGATAAAAATAACAGTTTATTATGAAAAATAAATAAATTGTGGATGAATTAGATAAATTATTTATATATATATATATATATATATATATATATTTTTAATTGTTAGTAGGAGGTATATAGAAAAAATGCAGAAAGCACACAGAGTAAGAAGAGAAATAGCTCGTTTAATGGTGAAGCCACCAGAAGGGGTGTCTTGTTATATAAAAGAAGATTCAACAGAATATATATTAGTTACTATCATTGGTCCTGCTGGATGTGCATATGAAGCTGGCGTTTTTGAATTAGATGTCGAATTACCAGAACGATATCCCTTTGAACCACCACATGTGAAATTTCGCACACCAATTTATCATCCAAATATTGATAATAATGGACGTATATGCTTAGATCTATTAAGAATGCCACCTAAAGGTGGTTGGAAACCAACTATAAGTTTAGAAAATCTTTTAACTGCTATTCGATCGTTACTTGTACATCCAAATATTAATGATCCACTTATGACAGAAATTGCAGACGAGTATCGTTATAATAGATTTGAATTTGAGTATAAAGCTCGTAACTTTCAAGGTGAATCCAAAAGGAAAAGAGATATAAATTCAATAAATGTCTGCTAATCCATTAATGGAATTAATAAAGTATTATGGATTTATTTTTATATTTTTATATGTATGTAAAATTGCAGATTCCTTGTCCCTTTTTAATGAAATATTGAAGTTAGAAATTTTCTTTTACAATATATTATATTTTTCTTATTAAAAGTGTGTATTACAATTTTTAAAAAATTTGTATATGTATATGTATTTTTATAAAACATTTTCACATTGTATGTCAATAAATTTGTTAATTAACAATACATCTGTCAAGATACAATAAGCTTTTTTTTTTTTATAATTTAAACCTTTATGGGATGAACGACGATTATAGGCACACGACGAAGGCAATTTTTTATGATCAAATATCTTACGCTCCATTATTACATATAAATTTATAGCTGCAACAATGATTTATACAACCAGTAAGAAAAAATGGATAACACAAATTTGTTTGTCTTCGACAAATATTACGTCGAAACAATTAACTGTTATTAATGTATGTTATAAACGAAAAATTTTTCATTTTTTTTCCTATTTTCTTTTTTTTCTTTTTTTTTATTTTTTTTTATTTTTTTTTTTTATTTTTTTTTTTTTTTTTACCAAAATCTTTTTGTTTTGTTTGGACGAATTTATGATGAATTCGTATCAAACATAGAAACATATATGTAAACTTGAAGTAGACTATAATTATTATTAAATTATTGATTTACTGATTGATAATACAATAAATTAGAAGATATTTACAGAAAAAATGTAGTAAGAAAAGGCATTATATCAATGACTATCTAGTAAGATTTGTAATATTTTTGCACAAATAATTATTTACCAAAATATTTAAACATTTCAAATGTTATATAAAGAGATCACAATTTCATTTCCCTTAATATAAGTAAAGGCAACATACACTCAAAATAATAATGTAGTAAATTATTAACCTAAATTATATATAATTCCAAGCTAATAATTAAAAATGGCTTATAATAGAAATGTATATAGATAAAATTTAATGCATACGACTATATCCTTCAAACATATAAATGAAAATATTCACACTTTAATTACCCTGCTTCCAATTAAAAAATATATGAACTTTCACACGAGAATATTATGCATTATATGCCAGATAGATACAAAGTTCAAGCTATTTTTAGAAAGCTAACATATTCGTAAGAAATGTTTAGAACATATTCATGAAATATCATTTTCTAACACCCATATTGAGTGATTTGAAGCATAACTTGATGCATAAGTAAATTTTATGTATTTGTGCTATTATTGCATGACCATGTAAATTTCCTCTTGGGAAGAATTTTCTACTTCAAGATGATAAGAAGTGATGACTTTTGGTCTAGGTGACATTGGAACATACTCAGAATGATCTATTATAGCTTGCTGTGAATGGATTATTTTATCTTCAGAAAGTGGTGTGATATCATTCGGAGTAACAGATCTAGTATCTCCTTCAGAATCTAAACCATCTTCACTAATGCTATAAAAAATTTTTATGCCATAAATTTCACCGAAAATAATGGAATACAATAATGTTTAATAAAACGAACCTGCCATTTCTTGTAGATGCAGATCCGCACCGCTGTCGAGGTGGCAACGGTGGCGGTTGCAATTGAAGATTGTGAGAGCTAAAAATAAGTTCTTCTGGATCTTCATAAAAATTTGAAGTTACCGAAACAATTCTGGAACAATTAGTATTATCAATAATTTCTTCATAAACACCAGAAGCCACAGAAACATTGGAAATTCTTCTATGCGATGAAGTATCTAAGTCTTTTATACTTGATACAATATCAGGGATACTAGTTGGTTTTTGTTGATAAACATTATCTACAACTCTAGTGACTATAGGTTGTTTCTCATTCATAACTTTATCAAGGTTATGACCATTTGTCATATCGTTTAAAGATTTAACATCATTTCCTGAACGAGAAGATAAAAGTAATCCTAGGCCTGCATTAATGAGACTAAATGCAATTTTACTCTTTAATGCTGGAAAAGTTGTTGTACCTTCTTCACAATGTCCTGATATTCTAAGATCACCTTCACTTAAACTTAATGGTCTTTTATCGATATGTTTGTGCTTTGGACCACGGCCCTGAGTCACTAAATCCTGCAACAATTTGCTAGCCTTCAAACAAAATACATGAAGTTCTCCAACTCCAGCATTGAACTCTTTAGTGGTATGAATGACACATATACGTTTTACATCTTCCGGACGACCAGCTGTAGTTAAATGAAATTGCTTCATTTCTTTCCATTTTAGATTTTGTATTATTTCACCTGAATGAATATCTTTGATAAATACCCCCATTTGACTGGCTACTAAGTCTCCATATAAGCCTATAGAAAATTGAAATTTTTAAATATAATATAATATAATATAATATAATATAATATAATATAATATAATATAATATAATATAATATAATATAACATAAATACAAATAATAAAAATAAGAATTATTAAAATTACCAGTTAAACCTGCCAATCTGGAATGTGCATTATCTACTATAGATATATTATAGAATCCATCCATTAATCTATGTTTCCTTGGTTTTAATAATTGACGAATATTTGACATCCAACGCTGTGTTTCTGTTTCAGAGTTCCCAGATAAATACAATAACGGTTTTCTCTCTTTATTTAAGAATATGCCAAATGCAAACTGTTTAGATTTCGATTGAGTACGATATACAATGGCATCATAAGGTATTACAATTGAGTTGTCCTTTTCATTCTGCGAAATCCCACCACTACTTATACCATAATCTAATTGTATTTCTATTCCTAAACCTGGTCCCAATTTTTTGACAGTACACCAATGTCTTTTCCAAACTTTCCATGGCGCTAAAGATCTTTTCCTCACTTTTTGTGTTACACATCTTGTTCCTGATAACTTAGCATCCAAAAAGCCACCACATATCTCGGTATCTTCTGCCATATATTATAAGTACTAATGTTCCCTAATAATTTAGATAATAAAAATAACTTAATGACGTTATTGATTGACAAGATCATTAAAATAGTGATAGTCTTTCAAGATTTTAACATCTCTTCTATTTTTCAAACAAACAGAAAATATTTACAAACTGTAAAAATGAAAGTATTTCAAACGAACAGAGGAAAATAAGAAATTTCAAACGATAAACAGTCATTAAATGATGTACAGAAAGAGAAAGAGAAAGAGAGAAAACAAGAGAAGGAGAGAAGAAATTGAGGAAACTTTCACAAATCTTTTAATTACGTTACACCTCACAAATCTTATTAATTTCTAAATGATCAAAATTGAAATAAATCATCGTCGTCGATTAAAGAATTATAAAATTGGCATTCGTTGAAGTCTCTTCGATATATCACAAAATACGATCACTTTGAACTAGGAATGCCGATTTTAAATCGATCTCTCCAAAATCGATCTTTTGCGTCACGATTTTCGATATTTTTAATCGATTCGGAAAACTAAAATCGATTTAAATATTGTAGATATTGTATAAATCGATTTTCTATTTAAAGAAAACAATTTTGGTATTGACAATATAAGCGTATAGCGTAAATTGAAAATTTCAGAACACACCCATACTTTTTTTCTTATCTTATGAATTGTAATGTTGGCCTCCCTGTCGCAAAAAGTTCATTGCCTAGTTGATATATTGACTTCTTTCTAGTGAAAAAAATTACTTGGTTTGTTTTTTCTTGCCGATGTTACATTATATCTATATTATTATCCGTTTTAAATTCAACAAATTTCAGATCTAGTTTCAGCTAGTACATTTGATACAATTTTGATGAAAAACTACTGGAAAAAAGTACCTAGGAGAACAAGAAAGAAACCAGAATGTTATATATATATATATATATCGATCTTAAAAAGTATGTGGAGATTAGAAAACTATTTGAAAAAGATTTGAAAAATTGTAATCCTTTAAAACAGAGAGATGAGGAATTCATTCATTGCCGCGGGCCACACAGTATGCGACTATCCATAAGAAAAAAGAAAAAAGAAAACAAAAAAGGATCGATTTATTATAAATTGATTTGAACGTACTCCGAGCGTGCTATGACAAATTCGTAGAAATGAGTAAATGGGAAATGCTTTAATTTTTATCCTATACGATAATATCGTTAAAAAATTCCATAAATGTTCTTCCATAAATAAACGAAGAATTTCGATGAAAATTAATTTCATTTAACAGTATAATATAATTTAAATCAAATTGCAATACATAATATTACTTTATAGGTGGACCATCAATATCGTAAAATTCTCGGAATTATTTATAAGTTATTATTACATTTTGTTTGTGATAAATTCATAAATCGTGCAAATATATTATGAATGATGTTTTTATTCATTCGATTGGCTATATAAGTATTCTTCCGTCATCAACATTAATATTAATCAAGGAAAGGCGCAAATGTTTTATCCTTTTTTAGAGATTGAATAAATTAAAGGTATAGCAAAGTCGATGACGTTGCAGGAAAAACATTTGCTATTATTACACATGTAATCCATATAATTTGTTACTCCTGGCAACCGGTTGGACAACGAACACTTAAAATACTCACGTTAATGTTCGATTTTGTTAATACGCAAGTATTTCTTATCAGAACCGATATCTTCATCTCTAATTATCATTAATAGATAACTTATTTATATTATGCATGTCATAATAATTTCTTTACTTTAGTTCTTGAACTTAATAATTATTAGGATTAATAATTATCGTAAAATTAGAATACTCTCGTCATTGTTTGCTTCGTTCACGAAGAAGACAAATATAATATCTATGTACGTGACTTTAAAAAAGAAAAATAATATCCTTGCTCTTTCACGCTGTAATTATATACACGCCACGCAGATATTTGACTCGCAATAGTATAATTTATTCGAAATAGTTTGCGTGTCCTCACTACTGTCACCGACATCTCCAGTCCCGTCATACTAATAGCCCTCAGAGTTCCCCCAATATAATGATCGTAAAATTCCTAATAAATAAACCTTAGAGTTCTGTCTTGTATTTGCCGTTGAATAGCATTAAGTTATTCTCGCTCGTAGCTTACTACAGGATTGTATTCCTCGAGAAACCTTTTATAAATAATTACAACAGCTGAAAGTTTACAATTTTTGTTGAATAAAAAAAAATACCTAATAAAATCTCGAAATTATTACGTTCATCAATATTTTCATTTCTTTTTTCAAAATGTTGCGCCGTAAAAGGGTATACGTTTGATTTGATTTTTATTTCCTTTCTATTCTCTTCATTTTAATTAATATCTCTTTATATAATTTATACCATAGGGTACCAGAAAGGTGATAAGAAAAATGGCAAAAAAAACATTACCAACGGCACTTCAGACTGATGTTACTAATGACGATGAGTGGGCTAAAATTTTAACTAAAAAGGGCTTGTTAGGAAAGTACAATTATTTTGGAAAATTTTGATCATCGTTATTATTCAACTGAATTCTTTTTTTCTTACAGTAGTTGATATTTATGCCGCATGGAGCGGACCATGCACAGGTATGGTGAGCACATTAAAAAAAATAAAAATGGAAATTGGCGGCGATGCTTTAAATTATGCTACGGTAACTTCACCAACTATCATCTATTATCGAAGTTTCTAATAACGATTAATAAAATAATAAATAACGTTATAGGCGAGATGCGATGATATAACGGATCTTCAGCGTTTTAAAGAGAAAAGCGAACCAATTTGGATGTTTATTCGTGTAAACAAATGCGTCTACCTAATTTCATTGAAGAAAATAAAATAATAAATATTTATTGTTATATTTTCAGGATGGCATGATGATTAATTTAATGTTTGGCGCACATTGTCCACAACTGGTGAAAATGTTGACCACCGAATTTCAACGAATTCAAAATAGAGAGGAATCGGAGTAAGTTTGCGTTATGTTCTATATTAATATTTACAGTTCTAGATTAATTATCTATCTATATATTCATTTATTTCCAAATTATAGATTCTCTATATCTGTAAATGAATGTAGCCCAGAAGAAAATATACGAATGCGCATCGCTGAGGAAGTCCGAATAGCTAAGGAAACAGAGAAGAAAGCTCAAAAAGGTTTTAAAAGCATTGCTTTATTTTGCGACAGATTAATTTTTATTATTATCTAATATTTACGCAAACATTTGAATAATGAATCTTTTATAGAAGCGGAAGCCAAAGAGAAATATGAAGCAGAAATGGACCATTTAACTAATTCGTTAATCGATGAAACTTGTCTCTTATTGTATCCGTGGATATTTAAGGACGAAGAAGGACATAAAAGGGATAAAAAATGTAGCCCACCGTATCTGGAATTAATTGAAGAAATTTTACCAGGAAATTATACTATAGAACAGGAGATACGAAAGCGATTGAATGAAGATATCCTTGATAAAATGTTTCACGAGGTTTCTTCATTGAGTTTTTTTCTTTTCAATTCCGGCAATATGTTTTCCTTTTTTCAACAATTAATACTTAATTAAATACTTTATTCTTTTTAGTCCGATTATGTACTTACGGATCACGAAAGACAATTAATTTTAGACGGTAAATGTATGCTTATGCGTTTGAGAAGAAATGAATCTACGAATGAATTGGACGTTCATCAGCATTTGCTTACATTACTCTTCGGAGAAGCAGTATTATTTTCGGCGGATCAGTGCATCACGGATGAGACGTACATAAATCACTCTTAACGAGAGACAACTATATTTGAACTCTTTCCCGTCCTAATGGTTATAGGCATAGATATCCCGTTGGTCGGAATTCTTTTCTAGAATTTCTAATTGTTGAAACTTTAATACCAGGTGGTCTAAAGTTCTTTTTTCTTTTTAATATTTCATATGTATAACATATAAAAATGTACAGAACATAAGACCATAACGAAAAAAGGATCTTGCATAGATTTATTCAGATACAGGCTCGTAAAGATAAAGGTGTCCTTATTAAAACTATTTTAGATCTCGAGAGGAAAGAGTACATTTTACAAATAACTTTATATGTTTTTGACAATAAAATTATTTCTTTAATAGCTATTGTGGACGACATCGACCAGCATTAATATCATCTGAAATGGAAAATGAATCGTTTCCCGTTGCATGGACTCCACCGAATGCCAGAAACAAGGCAACTGTATTTCGTTTAATCTTCAGCAAATACACAAATACTAGATACCCAGTAAGTAAACGTTCAAGTTCGAATATACTACTACAAAAGAAATTAAAATATGTATCATAAAAAATTCCATAGTACGAGGATAAGATAAAAAGAGAACCGATAATCATTTTCAAATACGACAGTACGAGGAAAAATGAGTTGAAAATGGTTTTGGAAATGTATACTGACGATATCGTAGATTTTGGAGTTTTTGAGTGTGATAAACCTTCAAATATAAAGATGATAGCTAAATCTATCAAGGAATTTGAATTTAGTACTTTAGAAAGAACTGGGTAAATTTACAGACATTATACATTATACATTAGATCTATATCAGATATATAAAAACTTAGAAATTCTATCTTATTCTCAACAGTTACGAAGTATTTATATGTACTGTCAAGAAAATAGGACGTGAAGCATTTTTGGCATTTGCCGGTATTGGTCCTTTCTATGTTAGCGATAATCACGAAAATGCAATAGAAGAATCAAAATTATATTTTCCAATCGTTAGTGCGTTAGAAGAAATACAGTCTGATGACGAGGATAAACCAGAAGATGCAATAAATAATGCAGTTACGGCAGAAAGTACTGATTTAGATTGTAGTGTGAAAAAGGAATAAACAGAAAGAATACATAAAAACAAACGTGTAACTCCCTATGTTCCATTCCATTTTATAAAAAAAAATTTTTAAATTCCAAATAAGCCGTTTAAGATATTTTCCATGAATTTAATGGTAAAATAAATGATGACATACATTAAGAATTTATTTCTTATAACCGCAGCTACGTCTACGGCCTCTAGCTCTCTCGAACTTCCTTCCTTTTGAAAGTACCAAAGGTTTGGTATGCGAGTGTGGAACACCTGGTGCTGGACCAAAGTGTTTCACAGCTTCGCGTGCATTACGTCGACCTTGCATCAAAACTGTTTTCTTCCCAGTGGGGGAACGAAGAGCCAGTTGATCAAAAGTAATGATTTCGCCACCAGCCTTCAAGATACGGCCTCTAGCCTTTTCAGTAATACGTAGTGCACAAACCTGAGATGTACAAGTAATATATGTTATTAATTAAATATAATAACTATTAATTGTGTATAGAAAAAGTTACAAGTGTTACATGACATACCGTTAATTTTGGAACTTCAAAAATTCTAGCATCATCTGTAACAGTTCCAACGACTACTGCAATGGAGTTTTCACGGCCAGTCTTCTTCATAAATCGGACTATACGGGCTAAAGAAATTGGAGGGCGATGAATCTTGCTCATAAATAGACGTTTCAGAATTATTTGGTTGAATTTCGCATTGGTTCTACGTGCCAAAAATCGATATAGCTGAAAAACAACAGAAAAGCACATTTATAAAAAAAATCTAGATAATTAAAAATTCCTTTGATTTTATATAAACATATCGTATGATCATATATTATGTATCTATGTATCAACTAATATAATTGTCTTTTTGTTTATGCCAAAAGACAGAATAGGAAAGTTGTCTAATTTTTATAGCGAACTTACAAAATTGAATTAGTCTATATTTGCAAAGACTAACACAGAGTGCTGTTCGCAATATTAGATGATATATTGGGATAGAAAAAAGAAACATCTTGTCAGATAAATGACATGCTCCTGTCGGATTAACCTCAAAATGAAACGTAACCTAACCAATAAAAGGGCAATATAAGTTTTTCACACAAAATATTTTTCGTTCGGAAATTTAATGAAAGAAACGGAAAAAATCATGCATCAAAAAGCAATAAATAAAGTAACTTACTTTTACAAGAAGTCGTAAATAAACATCTTGTGATTTCGGCTCCGTTCGTCGGACCTTTCTATCGTGTTTGTGGTTAATGTCGATACCCTAAAATAAAAATAATTCTCGTAAAATCATGCTCACTCATTCTTCATCTATGGAAGAATTATATTTTTTATCGACTCTTTAACAAATCGGGCATTTCATTTGATTTCACGAGCAAAATAAAATTCCCACATTATCTTACCATTATGACAAACCGGAAGAGAAACCATCTAGTTTAGATGCAACCAAAAGGAACGTGAAAAAAACGGAAAATATAGAGGACGCTGTTGATCAACGCTTTTAAAATCACTATTTACCTGTAAATCATAATGAAGTGGATTCAATCTTTGTAATAATATAACCGAATATCTAGAATAGAAATTTTCGTACATTATTTTAAGATAAACTAATCACAACATATAAGGAAGCATGATCTTATAGAATATAAATAATTTCAAAAAGATATCATATACAAAATATTATTATTGCCCGCAAATAAAGTCAAGTCAATACTGTACACTCTATAGTAAAGATATTAAACCATAAGAGTTACATTATAAAATATATTATTTTCTAAAAAATTAACAAGAATTAAGAAATATTAGGAAGAAGCATAATTTATATAATCTTCTTTGGAAAAACAAGTCGAGAAGTATAAAAGAAGTGAAAAGAAAACAGGAGACAGAAAATTATAACAAGCCATAACTATCGTCTTAGATAAGTATAAAGAGGGTTTTAATTTATACTGTAAGATGGAGCTGCAACTGACCATAAAGTGAAATATGATTATACTGATAGTCTAGCCCATATGTGGAGTACAAAATAATTATACTACTTGCAATGAAGCAAGTTTACTCGTGACTAATGCACTGCATAAGGTAAATTGAATTTTAGTTTTCTTGTCTTTCAAATGTTATCATTTATCATGAACAAATGCATTTGTGTTACTTTTCATACACTATAACTACAGAGAATTCATCTGCTCAACATCGAGCCCGAGTATGCTTTTAATTCCTATTATTTAATCAATTTGAAGGAATGATATATTGAAATGCTCTAATAATATTTTCAAAGATTCATATATAGAGTACTTATTTTTTTCTGAAAAAGACTTGTCACAAGATGATTATAGATTGTTTTTGAAAAAATGAAAGTTAAAAAGGATATTCAATTTTTAACGAAAAAAAATTCATTTTTTCACATTGCATAATTAATTTTTTTCATGTCAGAATTAGAAATGCATTTTCAAATCTACTGATTATTATATTCGAGACTTCCAAGAATATACGGTATTTTTTTGAAGTAAAAATTACCCATTCTACACAAACGACTGCTGTTCTAAATATCTGGGGTGTAGTGCACCCCGAGTGCACACCTTGAAATTATTTTAAGATGTACAATAGGGTTAGCATATGTTTCATGAATTTAATGGCACAATAAATGATGACATATATTAAAAATTTATTTCTTATAACCACAGCTACGTCTACGGCCTCTAGCTCTCTCAAATTTCCTTCCTTTTGAAAGTACCAAAGGTTTGGTATGCGAGTGTGGAACACCTGGTGCTGGACCAAAGTGTTTCACAGCTTCGCGTGCATTACGTCGACCTTGCATCAAAACTGTTTTCTTCCCAGTGGGGGAACGAAGAGCCAGTTGATCAAAAGTAATGATTTCACCACCAGCCTTCAAGATACGGCCTCTAGCCTTTTCAGTAATACGTAGTGCACAAACCTGAGATGTACAAGTAATATATGTTATTAATTAAATATAATAACTATTAATTGTGTATAGAAAAAGTTACAAGGGTTACATGACATACCGTTAATTTTGGAACTTCAAAAATTCTAGCATCATCTGTAACAGTTCCAACGACTACTGCAATGGAGTTTTCACGGCCAGTCTTCTTCATAAATCGGACTATACGGGCTAAAGAAATTGGAGGGCGATGAATCTTGCTCATAAATAGACGTTTCAGAATTATTTGGTTGAATTTTGCATTGGTTCTACGTGCCAAAAATCGATATAGCTAAAAAACAACAGAAAAGCACATTTATAAAAAAAATCTAGATAATTAAAAATTCCTTTGATTTTATATAAACATCGTATGATCATATATTATGTATCTATGTATCAACTAATATAATTGTCTTTTTGTTTATGCCAAAAGACAGAATAGGAAAGTTGTCTAATTTTTATAGCGAACTTACAAAATTGAATTAGTCTATATTTGCAAAGACTAACACAGAGTGCTGTTCGCAATATTAGATGATATATTGGGATAGAAAAAAGAAACATCTTGTCAGATAAATGACATGCTCCTGTCGGGTTAACCTCAAAATGAAACGTAATCTAACCAATAAAAGGGCAATATAAGTTTTTCACACAAAATATTTTTCGTTCGGAAATTTAATGAAAGAAACGGAAAAAATCATGCATCAAAAAGCAATAAATAAAATAACTTACTTTTACAAGAAGTCGTAAATAAACATCTTGCGATTTCGGCTCCGTTCGTCGGACCTTTCTATCGTGTTTGTGGTTAATGTCGATACCCTAAAATAAAAATAATTCTCGTAAAATCATGCTCACTCATTCTTCATCTATGGAAAAATTATATTTTTTATCGACTCTTTTACAAATGTGGCATTTTATTTGATTTCACGAGCAAAAGAAAATTCCCACGTTAACTTACCATTATGACAAACCGGAAGAGAAACCACCTAGCCCGGAAGTGTCACACGGACATGAAAGAACAAAATATATAGAGGGTGCTGTTGATCAATGTTTTTGAAATCTCTATTTATCTATAAATTTTAATCTACCTTAAAATCACTATTTACCTGTAAATTTTAATTTACCTTAAATTTAAATTTAAGTGAATTTAATCTATTAAGTAACATAAGCGAATATTTAGAATAAAAATTTTCGTTTTATTATAAATTAATCAAAAGGAATAATGAAAGATATTCACTTACAAAAATTTAAGAGATATGAAATATAGTAAACTACATTATCAAAAGCAAATAAAGTCAAATCCATTCAGTAGCGCACTCTACAATAAAAATACTAAGTTATAAGACTTGAATTATAAAAACGATTATCTTTTGAATAAATAACAAGTATTAAGAAAAATCAAGAAGATTCATCATCCATTTAAGTTTTTTCGAAAAACGAAGTCAGTATATAAAGAAAAAAAATAAGACACAGAAAAATATGACAAATCATTGCTATCTTCTTAGATAAGGATAAAGAGGCTTTCGATAGATACCATAAGGTGGCGCTGCAAGTGACCCTAAAGTGATATTATCCCGATTACGGGAATAGTCTGGGCTGAGCTCAGTTAGTGGTTGGATGTTCGAATGTTTATGTCTAACACTAGAAACCAAAACGAAGGAATAAGGGGTGCATTGCTCATTCGAATAACTTAATGCAAACTACTTTGAAGTAAACTTGACACGAAAGGAAAGTGATAGTGAGCTTACCGCGGAAAAAATATTTTACGTATCGGTCACTACCGACAAATAAACAAAGATTTGATCATGTTAAAACGTCAGCAATTAAATCCACTTTCGCGGTACGAGGACAAAGTGGCTGTTTTTCGCGAAAGAGGACGGTACTTGCTCACGTTCTTCTCTTGCAATTAACAAAAAAGGGAACAGATGTTTGAAAAAGAATAAAAGGAGAACTAACATATAGATTCTTTTTCGCATGCACGTGCTTTCCTCCAACACTTAACAACTCTATCGCTTAATTCGCGCTTCCATCTCCATATCCTCTTCTCCCACTTCTCCAACTCTCATACGGAGTACGATTGTCGCGTTCAACTCGTCCAATATCGTAATCCGCAGCAGCAGTTGCAGTAACACGGCAGCAACACGGGTAACGCTCTTTGGTGTTCAAAGAAAATCAAGAATGATTCTGCTCGTAATTTTAAGCTAATAATTTTGATCTATGCATGTGTTACCTA